GGACGGTCCAAATCTGGACGGTATACAGACTAGAATACAAAATTTTGAAATTCGTGAAAATCTGGATTGTGCAAACCTGGGCGGTATAAATTTGGAATTTAATATTTATTAAAAGTGTTGATATTGGGTAAACCATCATCAACGAAAAAACGATTCAGAGCGAAATTCGGTAAGATGACATATCTTAAAATGCCGTAACTTTTATGATTTCTGTCAAACTTTGGTTTTTTAAATATAAAAGTCAAATTTTGCAAACAATTATTTAGATAGGTCGATTAAACCTTAGACCGCAGGTTTTACGACTCTTACGCGTTACCCAATTAGCCACGATCAAACGCGAGAAAACAAAGTATTTAAGGCAATGGCGTAATCACGACAAACTTCAATCTTCTATAATAATTTTCTTAATAATGGTTTCCGCAAAAATTGGGCTGTAAGTACAACTTAAGAACTTTGTGTTAAATATTCAAGTATTATTTTACATTCTAGGTTTTTACGCGGACTCGCTCTTTTTATACTAGTAGTTTGTTCAACGTTTATAGACATTTAGGACATTTATTTATGTATTTTTTTTTTGGGGGGGGGGGAGGAAATGTTATTTTGAGATTTTAAATTATTTGGTTCCCCCCTTCCTTTGATCTTCTATGTTTATAACAACTACTCAGATATTCGAGTACAGCTTGAGTAAAATATTTTAAAACAATAATATAAAATATAAGAATATAATATATTGTATATATAATAAGAATGTTAAAATTTCAAACTTAAGATATTGAATCCGTTATTACATGATTCAAACTTTGTGTTAAGAATACTAAATTCTACTATTAACTAAACAAAATACATATCTTTCCAAACTCACAGCTCTACTATTTAATGTGTATTCATCGTAATTCATACACCTTTAATTCCAATATAGTTTTCGAATTTGGGATTATACATTGTACTGGTAGTTAAGTAAGTACTTTTTATTTTTAAAGTTTTGAAAAAAGAAAATTACCTACCAAATATAAAGCGTCGTACATTTACATTGTATACTGGAGTTTATCTACAACTTACGATATATAAAACTGTAAATCGCTATATCGTTATTTGCGTATGGCATGTTCTTTGAAATTGAGTTGTATACCTGCTTATACAGCGTTTATTTAAACAAAAATAATCGTCAACTTATCGTATTATTAAATCTATATAGTTAATATTATTTCAACGAAACAAAATTTGAATTAATAATCGTATGATCGAATGATAATAATAATAATATATTACTATACCTAGTATTTACTACCTATATTAGGTCCTAGTTATAGCTATGCATTCTATATAGGTAATTCAAATGCATTAAAACATAATTGTCTATTAATAACAGTTTAACAATTTAAAAATAAGGTATAATGTGCTAAGGTACTAAAAAGTAATTATTATAACATTGTATTATAATGTATAATGGAATTTATTGTGCAATCAATTAAAAAATTGTCTACTGTATAGATAACCTCTCATAGCATAATTAAGTGACTTTGTTACTATTTGGTCTAATTTAAATTACTTACTTACATATATTGTTCTTGTTTATTTCTTTTTACTCATTAGTTATTAGTTATATACGCATAATAATATTCGGTGTAATTAAACATTTGAGTAAAAGAAAAAAACTATTGATAAGTAACTACAATTCAAGTTATACCTATTGTTTCTACAAGTATTAGTATTTAATGTATTACAACATTATATACCTACTAGTGCTGAGCAATACGTTGACCAATCTGGAATCCGGATTAAAATTTCATATTCCAGATTAGGATTTACTCCATTGATCCGGATTTCGTATTTAATCCGTAAATCTCGATTTTAGATTCAACTCGTTTTGAGATAACCCCAACTGTTTTTGAGATAGTCAGTTTTTTTTTCCATAATTATCTATATAGTATGTACAGATTCTATACAAAACGAATATACGATCTCGGATCTACTACAAAATTATTAGGTAGGTACTTAGTAGGAGTATTCTTTATAATTTTTAAGTAACTCTATACCAGGTAATAAAAACAAAAAAGGAATGTTTACGTGCGCGTGTGCACGCAGTCTACACCCAAGTTATATCGTAATATATATTGCATCGTAATCGTGGTTTTGAAATAAAAGGTTAAAATATGGTTATTAAAGTTTATTTTATTGATTTTTTTAATCAATTCATTTTTTTTTTCATTTTGAAACGGTTATTTTTAGAAAGTATATACATGTCTCATTGTCCCATATTGTAATATAGATACGTAACACGAGTTTTTTTTATTCAAAACTATTAAGGGATCCCAAGTTGTAAAACTGCATACTATCTGAGAAAAAATTTTAAAAAAAAATAACAATAATTTTAGAAATAGATTTAGATAAGAAAAAACAAAATAATAATTGTTTTTATAATACTTTATAATCCAGATTTATATCATAACCCGGATTTATATTCATAATCCAGATTGAAAGTAATACTCCGGATTAAACAGGTTGTAACGTTTGTTTCAATCCTGATCGATCAGGTTCGGTAATCCGGATTTAAATCGATCCGGATTTGGTGCTCAGCACTAGTATTTACTTGCGGTATCAAAAATTTAATTTATTTTTATAGGGCACCAATTGTATTTAAAACCGAAGGTTAGGTTAAGTCTTTATACCATTTCAATTTTATCTATCTAAATTTGGATCAGTACTTAGTATATTTACATAATACATTTTATATATTGAAGTAAATAGGTTATAGGTATGCAATTGGGTCAAAATAATCTAATACGATTAACAATGCTCATCAAAATTCCCGACAACTATGCAAGTTTATTGAATAATTTAATTTACAAATAAGGATTAATACGTTTTTAATATAGTCAATAGAGTCAATTATAATAAATAAATAAAATTAAATGGGTACATTATTTACTCGTTATTATTAATCTACTTATTTATAAATTATGATATTATGTTCGTTTGACATGATAATATAAAGGGACCTAACTTGACTTACTTAAAGAAAAAGTGCTACACTTGTATGGTTTACAACCAGTTACGGTTTGAATCTAAAATTGACTAACCTTCAACCAGTGTTGAATCCAGACAATTTTTCTGGGGGGGCATCATTCAAATTATAGTGATGTTCTTTTCTTTTGTTTATCTAAGATGCTATCACCCCTCTTGTCATATTACCTGGGATCAACACTACCTTAAACTTAAAGTTACCTCAGTTCTAGCATCATAATAATCTAAGTATTTAAACGATATAATATAAATATAAAAATAGCGACACGAATGTTTAACAATCGTGTATACGCGTACAAGCCGGCGGATTTAGAAAAAGAAAACGGGAGGATGGGTGGATTTTGAAAATTCATATAAGTCACTCATTTATGTATGACTAGCTCACTGATGAATCAAGCTGAGAGTATAATGGGGCTAAGTGTACATGATCGTCTCTCTGGTTCCACCGTTGTATGATTTATATGTACCTACTTAATGTACTTTTGTATTTTTTCCAAATTTGTTTAATAGATACACAGCATATTAATATCGATTTAACCGAATCATTGATGTCGTATAACTAATAATGTCAAGTGTCAACAAATAATGACCTGTATAATAATATATAGGTCGTATTTTAATCATAAAAACGACTACCTACCCATGAGTTTTAAACGAATATATTTTTATTTGATACAATAATTTTTGAAACAAAATAATGTAATAATTGTTCGTGGTTATTCGATTGACTTCACTATGCCGTAACTCTAAGATCTCGTATCCATATTACGACAACACAATTACTGATAAGTTTATTTCTCTCATATTATAATAGTTCGTAAATCATTATTTTTTATTTATAATATTTATGTAGCGGATTATTATATTAAAGTAAGTATAACAAGAAAAATGTATACAGATAAAGGAAACAACAAACATAAAGTATCAGAATTGAGCCATTTGCACACAGCATAGATGTGAAACCGTTTATTTACTATACGAAGTAACAAAATTATTTTAAAAATGAATGATTATTGTTATTATTAATACTTCCCTAATTATGATGTTCCTGTGTTGTAAGTATGCGTCCTGCAGGGTATTGTAAAATAAATTGTGATTTCAAGTGTAGATAAACAGAAAAAATAAATAAACAACACATAACTATGTTAATCAATAACCTAATCTAATCTAACCTAACCATATACAGTACATGCTTATTATGCACGTTGTATACCATATCTATAATATATATATAATATAAAAAGAAATAACTGTTCCGGCCGGCGGTGTCTATGCCAATTTCGCGTTTTTTTTTTTACTCGTATTCCTTTTTGATTTGACTGTGTCAGTATTGAATAAAAACAAATAGGCGGAAAACGAGTAGTCTACCTTCGGCGGACCAAAAGTGTTATGTTGTGACATTTTTTATGACTTTTATACCAAAAATATCTAAACATCGAAATTGGGAGGGGGGGTGGATTTCAAAGGAACTGAAACCTAACCTAACCTATCGAGGAGTGGGGGCCGTATTATATGGCCGTCGCAAGTAAGTACGGCGTTCCTTTTATACCTTTAAGGCCCATTCTCACCAACGTAAACGTTGATTTTTTAACTGAGTTTATAAGATAATGTTGACTAATCGTGGTCGGTTATCAGCTATAAACTCAGTTTAAGAATCAGATAAACACCTTTTTTTACTTTGGTGAGAACAGCCCTAATTGCATATTTGCCGACAATTTATATTAATATAAAATTAATAATTTGGTAATTAATCTATATATATGTATAATATTTATTAATATATATGATGTACAGATATATTAAAATGCACGCCGTTGACGTAAATCAACACACAATACACATTACATATACTTCATTTACAAACGTAAATGGTAGTATGTATTGGTAATACTGCTGCCTGAAGGATCAAAAATATTGTACACAAGGATATATTATAAAAAAAAGTATAACAACTATTTTTCACTTAACAATGTTATCCATAATATTCTAAAATAAAACTGTACTTAAATCTGAAAAAAACGACATTCTAGGATAATGGGAACAGGGGCAGTCACTGATATTGATAGTTTAATGTATACCTATAAGCAAAGATAAACCATTGATTTCGATAAAACGATTCTGAGCGGAGTTCAGTTGATAATGATGCTTTGTCAACAATATATATGTAATTTTATACTACAATAATTAAATAGGTTTTATTTATTTTTTTTAATAATATTTGTTTAATGTTGTACCTCGGTTTTCCTACATTTTTCCAGGTTTTCCCATATTTTTCCTAGTTTTTCACATTTGCTGAGAAAATCGATAAACAACGTCTCTAAAGTACCTCACCAATGAAATTTCTTTTTAGAAAAATAGCTGTCATTAAAAGTTTGAGCAAAATTCCTGGTAGAAAAGTTGTCCACAGGAAAAAAAAAACATTTTAGTAAAACTATAAGTTTTTTCGCTCCACTCAGAATCTAAAATAAATACGGACGAAGCCGAGTAATTCAGCTTGTATACAATATACAATATGTAGGATATCATAACAAAAATTATCATAGTAAAAATAAAAATAAATTCATAGGTATCATATAATAATTATATATGTGGGTATACAATTGACGGTCATGTGGTCAACACACACGGCTAAATACCATAAGTGTGTCATTGTGTTAATATATAAGTATACTATACTATACCAGCTATAGGTAGATAAATATCGAATAACGACATAGGTTAATAGACAACATCGAGCGCGAAGGACAAAGAGCAATAGCGCAGTTACATTCGGATGGGGAGTAGGTGTTGGAACTCTTAGGTGACTGAAGCTCTTTTCTTAATTATTTGTTTTAGCATGTATTAGATACTTACCGATCGACATAGAAAAATTATATAGTTTCATCAAATCATTGAATTTATGTGATATTGACCATAAGGTTTATACAAATATCTGAGAAAAGGAATTTAGTGTCGTTAATTGAATACACTAACGCGAAAAACCATCTTATACTGCAGAAGTGCAGACAGATAGCAACATAAAGAATTACTCAATTATGGTGAACAAAGTTACTTTAATTTCCAATAACATGAACCCAGGGGCGACTCTAGACCTTGACTATGGGGGGGGGGAGGGGCGATATAATTAAATTTAATATTAATGATACATAGTATTTCTGTTTTGTCTAACAATTATATCCACAGAGTAGGTACCTAAAAATTAAAAATTACTCACAAAATTAAAGTCTAAAAAAAAGTTATAGTAAAAAGCTTAAATATGGTTCAAATGTTTTTACAGTTTTACCAAGTAAAAAAAGCAAATATAAGTTTTCTGCCCAAGTTTCAAGTCTTTACGAATATTTTTAACTGAGTTACAACAAATAATACAATAGACATTTTATTTAGTATCAACACGTTTGACGTTATTATATAGTATGAAATTCGACGATTCGAAAAACCTAAAAATAATCAACAATTCCGAAAAAAAATTAAATTAATTAGGTACCTAACAATTTTAAACATTATGTAAAAAAAAGAAAAAATGTAGGTAATTATATCGATAAAATATTGTTTAAAATTTCCGGTATTTATCTAGTTCAAATTTTACTAGGCTAAATTATAAAAACAAAATCTCTGAATGTAGTGAAGTTGTGAATTTAAAAGTATGTTTTGTTATAGGGGAGTTGTCTAAAGATTACTTCCAAACGGATTTTTTTCTGATGTATTCTCGGGGTTACCTATGTCGCGTGTAATACCTACTAGGGAATCTAAAACCGTGCTGGGGAAATAGGGAATAAGGATACTCCTCCACACTACGCGCGAACTACTCGCGGCCGAATAATAATATTATTCCCCGCGAGTAAACGCACTGTGCACTCGGTCACCCGTAATGTTTGTCGCACTGGTGCCGTACTACCGTCGTAGACGAATCGCCCCCCCGTCCACTGGCTGCTTCCCGCAAACCGTGACACCAGACCACGGCTAAAATAGAGGACGACGATGTTCCAGCCCACCGCCATGTGACGCGCCTGGTCCGGGCTGTTCCGGTGGCCGGTTGGGGTTCGCGGTTCGCCGGTACACATGCACCAACGGGAGAGGGGAGCCGGCGACCGAACGCGTTGCGCTTGCGCTGTCCTGTCGTCCAACGTATTATACGCGACGATTCACGTAATCTCGTATACTCACGACCGCCGTCCGCCCGCTCGACTGTACGTCGCCTTTCGAGTTTCAATTTCCACCCGCTCGCACACGCGACAACACGTTCGTGACACTACCGTCGCCGTCATCTCGCGTCTATCCCTGTATATTATACGTGTATTATTTTGTGTATAATAACACTCGATAAACGGTTTTTAAAATTTGTATTAGTACCTTTTTATTAATCGCGCGTGCACGCGTTCAGATTTTCGCCGGCCATAGACTCGCAGCACGACGCGAAACCTTTTTGGCGGCACGGCGGTGGGCCCGAGCTATAATTTTTGGTTCGGCGCGCGTCTTCCACTTCGGGTTTTTTCTTCCGGCGGTTTTTCTGTTCCCGGGCGTCATCCGCGCAAACGTCGTCGACTACAGAGCAGCCAAAATGGTCCGTATAACGATGCAACCACAACCGTCCAACTATTCGTACGTGTTTGACTTCGAGGAAAATTTCGAGTACGAGTCGACCCGGAAATGGATGGCCGCCAATTGGACCAACGGTTTCTACTACTGCACTATATACGCATTGGTGGTGTTCGGCATCCGGCGGTTGATGCGCAACCACACTGGCTTCCGGCTCAAGGGATTGCTTATCCTGTGGAACACTATGTTGGCCACGTTCAGTCTGGTTGGATTTTCACGGACGGCACCTGAACTTTTCCGAGTGCTCAACAAATACGGCTTACACCATTCGGTGTGCGTCACAAGGTAAGCCCACGTGTTCTGTTTTTCTATGCGTTGCGTCCTATCTAATCTTTGGACCCCCTTTCCCCATGTCACCCCTCCGCCTATTGGCCGTGAGCCCGATGACACCACCTACTCGTATTGTGTTGTGTCGACCGGTCGTGCTTGAAAGGCTGATGAACTGTCGATGCACTGATAACACAGTTGACAGTTCTGGGTATATCTCCAATTTTTTATTATTCGTCTCTTAATAGGCATTCTAAACATATCTCTAAACGTATTAATAAAATATTATTTTGGTGTTGGAATCGTAGGTATCTATTTGCTTTAGTGTATCATGTTTTATGTATCGCTACATACAATTGTTTTTATATTTTCTATAATAGACACCACGTAGTTTTATAATAACAAATTTTTTTGATATTATTTGGTACAAAAGTTTAAAGTTTTACTCAACACGTTGTTATACCAAATTGATCCTATTGATAAACTTGTTATGTTACTTTTATTTATTTTGTGAAATATTTCTATACATCAGATAACCTCTGGTTTATAATATTTGTTTTTAAAGTCTGTTCCTTGAAAATAATTACAAGTATCTATGTGTAGGCCACTGGTTATTTACTAATTTGAAATTAATTTTAATTTGGTACCTAGTTATGCATGATAATTATAAATTCAGCTATGATTGAATTCATAATGTTCTGTTTATTATTATTATCCTAATTAACAACATATTGAGATATTAAATCAGTAATTGTTGGGAAAAATCATGATATTTTGGGGTCTGGTGTACCTATACAATAATCAACAGTGATTTACCCTATCTTTATGTTTCATTAATATGTACATAATAACTGGCTATTATTATAGGTAGCTACAGGGCTTGATTAACCAATAGGTTGAAAAAGCTTCTAAAGCGCTTTTAAAAGAGGGGGGGGGGCGAAACAAAACAATTTTGTTTTTATGACTTCTAAAACTCGTAATCAGTGACCTTCTTTGTGGGCTATGCAAGAATTTAAAAGGAGAGGATTGGTGAAATTTGGTGATGAGAAAAAAAAGTTTCACCACCGAATCATTGCAAGTTTAGTGGTGGCAAATCCATTAATCAGGTCCTTGGTAGGTACCTTTACCTAGAACATAAATAATAGGATAAGATTGATGAGGTAATTTTTTAACGGATTTTTTTTGATTAGTGATTTAAAAGAAAAACTATGGGCAATTTTATTTGTATTTATTAGATAGGTACCTATCATTACATTTTTTTTATCTATATTCTATACACTTCTAATTAGCATTATTTAATTATTAATTAATATATTATATGCGTAGGTACTTTAATTATCAATGTATTTTTGACAAGTATAGGCATTCAGACTTAATAATATACCGAGTAATATACTGAATGTAGACTTTGGCTTAGTAATGATTATTAATATGTTTCGTATAGTGATCTAGTATTAATATTAGCATGGTTATTTGCTTATGCTGTGTAAGAGTAATCAATTTCCCTAGTTATTTATTATTCTTGATAAACTCACTTATAAAATGTTTGTTGGATCAAACGGGTTGCCCATTAGGTAGGTATGCAATATATTAGTTGTTTCAAAACAAGTTTAATTTAATAGTATGCAAAATTAGGTTGTCTTGTTTATGTCTTCAATAATTTCATTAGAAATATACTCTTTTAACACAAATCGTAAATTATTTGTTTCTGTATCATTAGAATACTAATTAATACATGGCGGTATAAACTGATAGGTACTTTAATATAAATTTGTTTAAAAGTTAAAAGCTCTTGTAATAATTTTAAATCTATAACATATACCTAGCTACTTTTCCAAATAATATTTTTTATTGAAATAAAACAAAACTATATTTTGCTTGGTATTATCTATATTCTTAACTAGGTAGGTTATTATTATAGGTTTTTTAAGTACAGTGAATTTTATATTCCATAACCTACTAAATAAATGATTTAACCTATTTCTCATAGGTTTAAGAAATGTTTAAGATAAATTTGTGTTTATGTTTAAGATAATTTTTCATTGACAATTTATATTTTATAGGTACCTTCCTGATATTAAAAAAAGTAATTTTTCTAATTATTTATCATTAGGTGGATATATTATGGGTGCCTAAGTAATATTTATATATTTTTTTTTTGTAAAAATAACAGTACTTTAGTATAATTTTAAATAATATATTTGACTCAATATTTTCTGCTTTCTTTAAATGATTAAAAAAATACATGTGTATAGGCATAAATAAGATAACTGAACAAATTAAAATTAATAGGTAGGTACCTAATAAAAAAAACTATTAGGGTTTGACGTCAATCAATTTTTATTTGTAAAATAATTAATTATTATTTAATAATATATTATACAATCTATGTATAATTAGAATAGTGTTTTCTGCCAAATTAAGAGCTAGGTCAATTTTATACATTATTTTTCTTATCAATTTACCAAGTATTATCAAACATTGATACCTATACGGATATAATTAGGTTCAATATTGCATTGGTATAAAAATTAGATACTTATTTTAAATGTGTTTTTTTGGTTGACAGGATTTGTATTTTTTTATTACCTACTTATCTAATTTATATTGTAAAATATATTTAATCCCACAATTAATGTAATGTACCTACCTAATATTATTAGAGTTTAATTTTAAATAGGTACAAAACATTAATTTAAAATAAATAAATGGGTTTAATAATTTACACTAGTACCTTTGCTGTTATTGTATTATAATGAATTATAGCGCATAATATAATAGTAACAAGGTAGTTGACAAGGACTGTTAAATTTAGATAATATTGTATATAGTCTATTAAGCACCCGTAGATACCTACAACAAATCATAAATTACTCTAGCTATAAGCTAGTATGTACCAGTACACAATTAGGTAATTTGGTTATTGTATGTATGTATCTATAAATTTTTATCGTTTCTAAACAATTTAAATCATCTTTAATGCTTCTGCTGTTTCCATTGAATTTAAGTCAATATTTCGTTTTTATAGTTAAATACACAATAATAAAAAACATTTTGTACCTAGGTATAAATAAAAATATTGCAGGTACTTATAAGATATCTTGACTAGTTGACTACCACATTTATTTTGTTACCTACCTAATTATATTTTATTAGTCCTTAGAATAGTTATTGAATATACTTAATATTGTGTTTGATCTATTTTATGGCACATTGATGTATAATAAAATATTAATTTCAATAAATCGTGATATATTACTTTCTATCACATATTATTTTTACTCAATTTGCTAAAAATGTGACAAGATTCTTTTTGGAGTTTCTGAAAAAAAAAAATAAAAAAAAAGGTTTATAATACTAATAATATAATTAATAACCTATTCATATGATCAAAAAAAAAAATTATTTAGGTACCTATTTGAGTACAATGGATACTTATTTATATTTAATAAACAAATACAATTACCTAATGGTTTTTTTATTTTCAAATAAATATTTTTATATTATGTACCTAATTGTAATACATTATTACTTATTAAATTTTGATTAGCAATTAATTTTGATACCACTGGCGTCATTGAAATTAATTCTGTAACAGTGTAATACAATCGTGTACGATTGTAAGTACCCATGACTAACACAAGTTCTATATGATTATTATTAAACATTTGTCATTCTCCAATACATTTTCTTATTGATGGGTGTGTGTAAGGTACTTGGCCATTTTTAATTTTGCTAATTTAGATATATTTTAAATTTAGTTGACAAGTCAACATACGAATATTTCTTACTAGAGATGTAATCGTGAAAATGTTATTTCTATGTATTTTACTAAAATAATTATTTTTTGAAATTACAACTATTGGTATTATTTAATTAAGAATTAAAACACCATAAAGATTAACTAAAATTAAAATTTATACCTTCTATACATGTTGAATAACAGTATAATAAATACAATATATTTATTAATTATAAATTGTTGTGTCTAGTGGTCATTAATTTGTGATTATTAGTTATTATGAAACAAGTCTTTTACATGTAAAGATATAATTTAAATTATTTAAAATAATTAATTAAAGAAAGGTTCACACTACACCATGTCGGTGTCGTGTAAAATAATTTTATCCAATTGGCTGAACCACGTAGTTCCATTCAGTTGTACCACATGGTGTATTCTTATTTTATCACACGATACCACAGTGACCAAACGATACTGCTTTAGTTGAATATATTCAACTCTTGACCGTGTGGGTAAATTTATTTACGATGTGTAGAAAAGCTTCTTTACATCTTGCATTTATTTGTAGACAAATTATAACTAAAAAAATTACAAAATATTATCATTGGGTACAATATTAATACAAATATTACTATATATTATTACCACAAATTTATTAATTTAATAATCTTTTGTAAACCAAGTTTTTTTTCCTCTCACCGATTCGATTTCTATTATAGTACGTACGAGTATACGGAACAAGTATAATATAGGACAGCCAATCGTGCGATTGGATTGTTTAGCGCGTTCATCGTCGTGAACTTTAATAAAAAATCATTCTAAAAATACTTTTCTTTACGCACGGGGAATTTGAGCTGGTGTAATACTATTTGTATAGGTCAGAGGATAAATCACTCACGGAAATCAGTGTTCAATTAATGTTTGGTAATCATAGAAATCTTTGATAATCTTAATAGGTACCTAATAATTTGGAAAATCTTAGTATCCCGGAATTTGGTACACAATATTAAACAGTGATTGTAAATCACTCAATGTGTGTATGTATGGTTACTTGGTATAATGTGCATTGTTACTTATAATATGTAGGTTTTTAATGTGGTTCGCATACGAAATGAACTTGTATAAAAGAGTTCACATTTAAAAATTGTTAATAATAATAACTAAGGCAGAGGACTTGTAGTATTGAATAGTCATCAAATATGTACTTAAATTCTCAAAATATGCACCAAACATGTACAATTTGAAATTAAAAACAAGATTTTTTTTAGTTAACAGTTATAACTTGCAGATTCTTCTTCCAATTTAACAAATAACGAAAACAAATATTTCTGTTTTAGATAAGGTAACACTATCGTTTAAGGGACCTTCAGACACGTAATTTTTCAATTACGAAGATAATGAAAATTTAACATAGGGCATATTTTGTATAATAATGAACAATTTTAACAATAAAAATAAATCGCAAACAGAACGCGTAGTCAACCTTTTAGAAACAGTGACACAAAATTACACTGAAATCGGTGTTATAAGCACGGGTCGTGTGGCGTATGAAACGTTAAGCGCATGATAACACACCGTAACCAATTATTATCTATCTATATAAAAAAAAAAAAAAAAAAAAATGGAAATTTAATCTAATCATGGACTTCAAGAGTTTCTAGGAAAAACCCTCGTTCGCAAACGAGTCGACAATCATATTATTAAACAAATTACTAAATTAATTATTTAGTCAAGTTATTAATAATAACTATAATTAGGTTTTAATATTTTTTATTACATAACATATGATAATAATTACAAATAAATCCAATAATATTATTTCGGTTATAATTACGGAATAAAAATGTCGCTAGGGAAAATAATGATAGCATTTTTAATTTAATGAAATACGTCTCAACACATTTATTATGATTTATAAAATAGGAAGATTGAAATAATATACCCTAAAATTAAAAAAAAAACTTATAATTTGTATTTGTATGCAAAATAAAATTAGCAATTGGTAATATAGCTTTGTTTTAGCATAAAACGTATTTTCTTTTTATTCTGCTAATTATTAGTGTAAATCAAATATGCAAATGCTATTAATATCTTTTTTTTTTTGACAAGGTTTTAATTTTTAATGATATAAAACCAGTACATTACATTATCAATGAGAGGTCAAACAAATTAGTTTGTATTTATATACTATTTACATTTCAGAGTATTTTTTACATTGTACAAATTTATGACAGGTTGGGGATTTATTAATTTTATTGACGGATCTAACGGTTTTTTTATTTCGTATAATTAACTATTTAAAATTTGTTAATTGGGAACAAGGAAAAAAAACGTAACTGATATACCACTACATTCAGAATTGTTTTTCGTTTGCAATAATTTATGTATATAGTGCGGTAAATTACATGAACTCTAAATTACTAAATGTAACTAAATTATCCTATATTTCTTCTCAACTACCCATCTACAAAAGTAGCTTGCCCGTGAGAAGTATCATTATTTTATTTTTATGACAGTGATAATTTTTTCATACGAATAACATGAAATATTCGTCCATTCAGTCAATACTAGATAACGTTTGTCATTTATTTCAATGGACAACTTCGTAGATAAACAAAAGTTTGGTTTAAATTTTACAAAAAGTTGATTTTCGTGTTCATAAATTGACGTTTGATTACCAGAATAAATATTGTATCGATACAATTGCTATTATGTGTGTTCGTAGTTCGTATACGTTTCATAACCTAAATGAGGCGCCTAGAACACAAGGGGTATAAGTGACATTTTTAAAAAATCTGAGTTTAGAGCACAACTGAACTAAAAGTATTCTATTTTATTGTGTGGTAAAGAAATATAAGAAAATTATTCGACATATGCTGCGATCTAGTAATAAATACTAGATTTGAATAGTTGTATTAAATACAAATAATTTTAAACTTGATTTTCTCGAAATTAAAAGAATGTCATTTATACTCCTTGTGTTCTAGGCGCCTCAAATGTTGAAATCAATTTAAAAGATAAAAGAACATGCAACTATTTCAATTATTCTTTCGTTAATAGTTTTATAATCTAATGTTTTAAATTTATTTGTCTATTACTATTTATTCATGCAACTATTATTTTCATAAGTATTCTTATATACACTATTGTTACAAGAGTGCATTACATACATTTTGTTGGGCGTATGAAAAAAAAAAAAATAAAACCAAACAAAACACGTTCAATGCATACGACCATATGCATATTGGAGATGTAAGCTTAAAACTTTCAGTTTGTTTCCCCCACATATTATGTGTTTGCTTATGGTATAAAATATGTTTGTTAATCGTGTAATAGTTTTATATCGGCTTTTTGTATGTAAAACTCTTATTATTTCTCCTTTTGAAATCTGTCAAATCGTCTCGTCGATTCACCGATTTCTGATGGTGTACACGGGAATTAAAAATAAAAATATATTTATATTTATATATAATATTATTCACTCGTGTTTATTTTAATAACAATTTGATTCAATTTATTTTGGTATATAGAAATTATTTTGGTTGTTGCATAACTCCATAATTATTATCGCGTCTACTCGAATTCGTACATCAGTAGCCCGCCCGTGACTTCCTGTTATAATTTACTCAGAATATTGTTATTGTTTAGACAGAATAAACCGAATTTTTGTCAATTTTGCATTTTTTTTTTTGAAATTTATAATTGGAACATTTTGTCTTCTTGCAAAAAAAAAAACGTAAGCTTACTAGTATATGAATATTATTCGGTTGGGCGCACGCGCGATTATAGGAGATAACACAAAACATCTTTATAGGTACATGTAAACAAATAGTATATGCGAATATATTCTATGATAATTTATTCTTTGAGATATTCGTATCTCGTAAATAGTAATTTGTTATCAATTTCACATTATAATGTCAAGCGTTTTAAATCTAAAATCGTTTACAAAAGCCTTTGAGAGGTTCGCATACAGCAGGCATGTCAAACTACTAAGTATCAAGCGGACCAAATATATATATTTATGTATATATCACCTATATAAATAATAATAACAATACATATATAGTTGTTTACTAAGCACATAAGAACATTTAACGAAAAAAAAATTGTGTACACATTTTTCAATATTATTCTTTAGTCTTTACGAACACAACAGGTATACAATTAAATTATTTGTAAGTATTTTTAATAATTTATTAAATTTCATTTCAATTGCATAAAAAAAAATCATATTAGTTATTTACATGAAATAGGCGTATTATTTAAATTACAAAAAAAAAATCTTGTTAATAATCCTCTGTTGACGATATTTCGATATTTGACATCTCTTTCCTGCCACGAATTTTTCTATTTTGTGAGAAATTTTATCGGATGAAACCACTTTTTAGGTTGAATTTAGATGCGTGCCGGTTGATCTGAATCCAACGGGCGTTTCATTGCCGTTCGTTAATAGTACGCATTATAACGTATGGCGTTGCGTGTACCGTATCTCCGTCGTTGCGAAATAATTATTTATCAACGTTTTTATACGGAAAAACCATTTTTATTTTTTATTTTTTTGTAATAACTTAAGCTGTGACGTAGCGTTTTTATTTTTGAGCTGGTACAAAAAGATTTAAAAAAAAATTCAAAGTTTGTAAATATTTTAAGTTTTTTGTTTATGAATATAAAATTATTGAGAAAAGTTATTGGAAAATGTAAAACGCCGCTACCTCGATCAATTATAATTATTAACAAAATGGTTCTGTTACTCGGCAACTGTTTTTACACTCAAATTACGGGTGTATCTCTTAATGATAATAATAGTTGCTCATATTGATAAGTACATTGAAATAATTTTATGTTCAAATCTATACAAATTTCTACATATCGTAATCGCTCGTAATTGTAAAAATCAAGCATACTTACCTAATTAAATTTGTTTTTTTTTAATTTTTAATTTTTTTTTATTTGAATCATTTTGAATCTTGGTTAATTTCATTGCCTCATAAATATTAAATTCCATATCGCAAGCACGAAAAATCACAGTTAACTGAGCTGTGCCAATATCTTTACTTTCATTATAAGCAATTGGAAAATACTCGAAACTTGGTACTTTGATTTTAATCTGATTACTTAAATTGCATGTTAGATAAATTATTCTTTCAGCAATTGTATTTCATGTTAATAAAATGTTTTGAAAAGTTTTTAGATTTCTGAAACAAATAATTTCAGCAGTTTCAATCAAACACGTTTTTATAAAATCACCTTCAGTGAACGATTTCGAATGTATAGCAATTAACTCTGACAATATATAATTAGCATATAGCTGCATCTTCACTTTTTTGTAATGTTTTACTAAACATTAGCCGTTTTTTATAACCATTTAAACTATTTTAGTTTTTCTTGTCTCGGTATTCCTTAATCGTATTTTGACTTAAATTGTTCGTAATGTCGCTTACTGTTATACAACTTTGGAACACTAATAATACATATATATATATATATATATACATTCATACGTATATACATATTAAGCAAATTATTTTATAACTAATTTTACTGCAAAATTATTATTTCCGATTTTCTTGACATTAATGGCGTTCATCGGTAATTTTTCATTTATTACTACTAACCTAACCTTACCACTTGGTTTTGATAGAGATATTTTTGACTGTTTAATTTACGGAATAATCTAACAACAAAGTACACACATTACAAAATTCATACTGGAACACACGGTGGCTGTCGAACGACTAGATTAGATGTTGACAATGGAAGAGGCACGCGTGTTGCGTACCGATGATAATATCACTACATTAATTTATTATATATATATATATATATAAAAACATCAATATTACTTATTTGATTTCAATTTATCAGAAGAGATAAGACAGTAAAATAATGTATACTAAATATACATCTCTAACCTAAACTCTGAGATAGTTCCGACACGAAATAAATATTTTATTTTATTTTTTATTTTGTCTATTATTATTGGTAGCCGCGAACCACAAAAAAAATTAGCCGCGTGTTTACCATGGTACACAGTATAATATAGTCAACCGTAGGCCAAAGAGCTGAACCGGTATAATTTAACGGGACAATTTAATTGACTTGGTGTTCATATTTTTTTATTGTATCTATTCGTGCCGCGCATTAACAGTAGGTATGCGTTTTACCATAGTTTATAATGGTTTGAATTACGTGCAGTCTGGTTTTGTTGAACATATTTTTTTTATCTGCCATATTTCATATTTTAATTGTATACGACGCGCGACGTCGTTCGAATATATAGATACAGTAAGTACCGTATTTTTTTCGCCAACCTTCAACAACAATAATAGTATAATTATTGTTAACATTTTATACGTTTATCGATTTGTCTTGTCAGTGTTTACATTATTGTTGTTGCAGTTGACTAAGAACATATTGTAATTAATGAAAACATCTCAACACGATGGATTTATCAACAATTCTAGATGTCATAATGAATTTTGACCAGATTTTCAGAAAATTCAATAATAATAATAATAATAATTGAAAAAGCATTAATAATAATTTTTGTATAATAAAAATAAAAAAAGACGTCCTAGAATAATGAGCTCGGATGCAGCCACTGTTATAGGTAATTTAATGTATATCTGTAAGCAACGATAAACCATTGCTAACGTTTTTCAAATTTGCAGGGAAAACTTATGGGAAAATCGAAAAATGACCTCTTCAAAGTACCTCACTAATGAAATTTCCTTTTAGAAAAAGTGCTATCATTGTAAATCGGCGCAAAATTGTTGGTAGAAAATTTGTTTATAGAAAAAAATAATCGTAATATTTTACCAATGTATTTTCTATATTTTCCCGTTTTTTCTCAATTTTTCACGATTTTTCCCATTTATTGGAAAAACTCCTGGGAAAATCAAGAAATGACCTCCCCAAGTTACCATAGAGATAAAATTTCCTTTTAGAAAATAAACTACGTTTGATATATCGGAGCAAGATTGTTGATAGACAAATTTCCACAACAAATCGAAGGGTATTTGCGATTAAAATAGTCCGAGCGAGCAATAGTTTGAGTCTCTAGGTACATCCAAAATGCATTCGTTTTTTCCCTGTTTCGATAAAAGGGGAAAAAATAATTTTTTTTTCTAAACACAGTCTCGAACTCGTGAACCCTAGGATGAAAATAGGCATGTATAATAACAATTCAGCTACGATAAACAAGCTTTAGAGAAGAACGGGAGTTTTACCTTCCCGATATCAACGTTTTGATTGGAATAATATTAATTTTGGTGAAAACATCGTAAACCAAAAATTAAAAACAATGAATACTTTTTTTAGAAGTAAATTTCTTTCGGATATTTCCCAATTTTTTTTATCGAAAACTTCTCGGAAAATCAAAATATGAGCACTCTAATGTATTTACTAGAAGTAAATTACCTTTTTGTAAAGGCGCTACACTATACATTGAAGCTAGATTTCTTTCAGAAAAGTTAGTTACAGACCAAAAAAGCACACACCATAGTAAAACTAATAGATCCCTCGCTGTGCTCGGAATCTAGAACATAATTTTTCCGAGTCGGTAAATGGTAATTACCGTTTTTTCTCAGTGTTCGGTTCTGTTGGAAGTTACATTCTGGTTCAAAATGTAATATTACGACTATCTGTAATCTGTTATCTAACACATAATATAATAATTAATTAACACCTTGTTAGTGTAATATTATATTATATTGGTAAATGATTGTCTCATCCGATCCGCAGTTAAACTCTCGTCTACATTACGACCTTCGGTCTAGATAATATTTTTCAGCGCGCCAACATTAACTTTATTATAATAAAGTGTTGATGGTCCACGCGAACTATATGGAAATGAATGGAATAGCGATTCGATTTACTATTCCATCAACTAATCAAGTAGTCAATATTGGGGCACATAATCGAAATCCCGTCAACTATGTAACCTCATCAAATCGCATCCCAAAAGTTCGGCCCTCTCGGATTTTTACTCGTCGTAATCAAAATAATAATAATAATAAACCCGCGGTCGCGGTGCAGTAGAAACTGTTCAAGATAACTACTCGAGTGTTGTACATTTTTTTTTTGGAAAAGTCTGAGCCCAGATTTCGATGTCCACACCATTTCGGTACTACTATGCTTAACCTCGCGCGCCACTGTCTTTTACAAAGCCGTTTAAAGTCATTCAGCATTCCATAATAATTGATTTTTTTTTTTCACGTTCTACTTGCAGTTACGTCGAAGACGACCCAGTATCCGGTTTCTGGTCCTGGCTGTTCGTGCTGTCCAAATTGCCCGAACTCGGTGACACGATATTCATCGTGCTCCGTAAACAACCCCTGATCTTCCTGCACTGGTACCATCATATCACCGTGCTGCTGTACACGTGGTTCTCGTACCACGAGTTCACGTCGTCCGCACGGTGGTTCATCGTCATGAACTACTCGGTGCACTCGATGATGTACACGTACTACGCAGCCCGGGCGATGGGCTACAGGCCGCCCACGCAAATATCTATGTTCATCACGGCCAGCCAGCTAACGCAGATGATTGTCGGGTGCTTTATTAACTACACCACGTACGGTTACTTGAAGGCGGGTGGCCCGCAGTCGTGCCGCGTGTCCAAGCTGAACGTCACCCTGTCGTCCGCCATGTACTTCAGTTACTTTGTGTTGTTCGCCCAGTTCTTCTACAACGCGTACATCCTGAAATCCAAGGGCGGTCGTGGCGGGGCCATGAAGAAGGCGTCCAAACAACACTGATGAGTACGTCATCCGTAGCCTCCTCCTTCTCCTCCTCCTCCTCCCCCCCCCGCTGCCATTGACGATGAATAGTCGATTTTCAACCATGCGCTGCACTGATATTATAATATATACGTACATATATTATTTACCAGACACTATATTGTTATTATTATTATAATTATAATATTTTAGTGTTTATTTTGAATACGAGATGATCGCGTGATATTATTATTTTTCTATCGATCGAGGTGCGTTATATTATATTTTCATCCTGTTTTTCTTTTTTTTGTTAGAAAATCTGTTTATTTTTTATAACAGTGTTTTTTTTTCTACTTAGTTTATATTTTATATATTTTTAATGCGATAAAGAAAAATGTCTTGCCGCTAATCGAACGTCATTGCGTTCTGTATATAATATAATAATTATAGGTATTGTTGTTTGACGTGTGTGTAGGCTGAACCAGCCTAAAAAAAAAATATATATGTAATAAAGAAAAAAAATTATTTTTCATGTTTTTCTTTCTATTATAGTGTTTTTAATAATTGTTTTAAAATCCATTGAGTTTTTTTTTTTATTATTTCTATGTTGTTTCTATAATAATATATATACAATGATAATCGATGATTGTGTCTTGGCTTGGTCTATTTGTATCCTATCCGAATTGCCCGTTCATTTATTCCAATATTCTAGATGAGTGCGACTTATAAATTGAATTCTCCCGTCAGATGTTCAAGCATTTCCGTTAAGACTAACAATTTTATCTCCAGAGTACCTACCAAATACAAATTATGTGTATACGATTCACAAAATTAAAATGTTTATAAATAGTTCAAAAATGGCTCAAATTGAAAATTCTACCACGTTTATTAAAAGCTAATATATGTATTCGGTGAACATTTTGTGAAAATGTCCTTGCGGTTATTTTTAACTGACTTACAATTAAATCGAAAACAATGAAACCATTATTTTCTTAAACTTGGCAGTTTTCTCGTTAAATTAGATTAGGTTGCCTTTATGTTATTAAGAAAACGACTGTTTTACCTACTAACTAGCTAGCGAACCTTTTTTTTCTGAAAAAAATGCTACACTTGAATTTAAGCCCAAGATTTTTGGTAGTAAAACGATATCGAAATTATCTATTTATGTTTATAAAGATAATCTGAGGTTTCAATGTATATCCTAAACTGCTGGGTTCAGGGCCAGCGCAAGGCTTAATGACATTCCGGGCTAAAATTTCAACTGGCACCTTTTTCATACAATAACCCATACCATATAATACTAAAAAAAATAAATATTTTTCATGGACAGAAATAAGAAAAATTGTATATTATACTCAAAAACAACCTTTTGTCGTTGAAACTGGGTTTGAAAAGTAACATTAATATTATGCCTAAGAAAATACTCGGCCCTACAATGAAAGTCTCATTAAAACCGATTCGGCTGTCTCCCAGTTAAGCGAGGTATAAGTTTTATTTATGTTACGAGTTTATTACGTAATATTTTAGAATTTAAAATACGAATAGTAATAATGAATTGTTTTCTGAAAATCAATCGTGCCTGTGACTCAGAAATACTCAAACCGTAAAATTAAATTTACGTAATTATATCGCCGAAGTAATATATTATTCGACCGATCAATTTTAAAATATTTCAAATGCAAGGATATTAATCATTAAAACGAAAACTATTTATTAAATATTATTGAAATGTTATAATTCTCCCGTACGACTTGGGCCGGACCAAGCCATATAGGCACCGATTGAAAAAGTCGCCTTTCGTATTATCAGTAAAGGTATTTTGTAAACAATTTTTATCGAGTTTATGTTATACAGTGTTTAACATAAATTAACATATTAACAAAGAGTAACTTCTAGTGAATAGATAACGCACTGCCTCATTGGTTTCCACAGGAAATTTACCGGGTAGGGGCATAATAAAATCAAACAAAATTCACAAAATTATATTAATTTCTTACCGACGTTACTTTAAATTAAGTTCGTATTTAGTCAACAAATTCGGTGTCGTTTAAAAGTCCACGAGGCGAGGAAAATCAACTAACTATAATTTGTGTTTTTATTTACATAGTTAATAGATTATATTCAATAAATTTTTTGGGCGCAGTTTGTAGTTGAATGAAAAAAAAAATAAAAATAAAATATATATATATAATAAATAAATTCATTGTTTTTATTTGATCGTCATGATTGTATTCATTACCTGCAGTAGCGTATGTATCGATAAGGAGTGTTGTGGATGAAAGAAATTATTTTAAGATATGGCCGTACTGAACTCTATGCAAATTTCATAACGATTTTCGTATTTTATAAAAATTACACGATGTCAAAAATTGTTCATTGATATCACCAAGCTATGATCGTAGTTAGTACCTATATTTATCTATGGGTTTAAAGTTATTTTTGACCGCGGTTATTGGTATGCGTAATTAACAAGGATTACCACTTTCCCGTCGGAATTGAACTGAATATTGTTATCTGTCTCGTTGCATTTTCTTAAATAGGTATGTTAAACATAAATAAATAGTGATACTGATATATAAAAAAAGGATTTTCAATTAATGTTGTCATTTTTCATAACGCCTGTCTTTAGAAATTTTTGGTTACGCTCCCGGTGATAACTACTTAATATTACATTCTGCCAAGGTCATTTATCGCGGAAAATAGCCGATGGACGGTTGTATAGGTATAGCTCGATGGTTTCATTATTATTATTATTATTTTACGCGACGATTCTCGAGTACGCGACCGACGAACTAGACTGCCACGGCTCGCACATGTGACACGTCCGTTCCACCGTCGTCGTCTTCGTTTCGCAGTCTCGTTTACTTTTAGTTTTTATTAATCGTATTATTATTATCTGCTGTCGCGTTTCAATTTTCTCTTACCGGCTCACACTCACTGACTAATCGACACGGCAAGAGCGTTTGGCCGGTAGCCGGGCGGCGAATCCCAATGATAATTTTTGATTCGGCGCGCGTCTTTTAAATTCGAATTTTTTTCCCCAGATATTTTACAGTTTCCTACCGCCAAACCGACACCCGAGTAAACAATTGTCAGCAAAACCGGCAGCCAAAATGGTCCGCATACTGATGCGTCCCAAACCGTCCAACTATTCGTACGTGTTCGATTTCGAGGAGAATTACGATTGCGATTCGACCAGACAATGGATGACCGCCAACTGGACAAACTGCTTTTACTATTGTGCCATATACGCGATTTTGGTGTTTGGTATCCGGCGGTTAATGCGCAACCATAACGGTTTTCGGCTCAAGGGACTGCTAATCCTGTGGAACACGATGTTGGCCACGTTCAGCCTGATTGGGTTTGCCCGGACGGCGCCCGAACTTTTCCGGGTGCTCAACAATTACGGACTGCACCATTCGGTGTGCGTCTCGAGGTGAGCTCACGTGTTTCGTTCTTTTTACTCGCTACGCGTAAACCCTTTCTACAACAATATAACATTAGAATATTACAATTGGAATATTATGAAACTACACGGGGTTCCATAGTTGTGCTCACGACTGAAGTATATTAGATAATTGCACTACTATACCCCCATTCTAACTTTTTTACACGTATGGAAATTAAAAATGGCAGCGTGGTGGCCTGAATGTATGGAAATGATAATAAAACACAGTTATCCCAATACCGCAATTTAGTTTTTGATTTGATAACGTTAGATCGTATATGCAATAACCTGGTACATCTAATAAAATAATAAAGTAAAAACAAAATTATTAAAACGGTTAATACTCGTAAATAAATGTATAAATAAAAAAACCGTATGTTTAGAAATGTTTTATTTATATATTTATTTACTATATTCCGGTACATCTGCTAGTATATTTCAATCATGGTTGTATAAATATTATAGCAAGGTGACGAGACTAAATTGATAGCTTTCGAAAGTAGGATTTGTAGACAAATATATAAACCTATGCTAAAATACTGAATACTGAAACTTGCGAACACGGGGAGAGAAGGAACGCGGTAATAAATATAGGGCTATACAATGGACTCGGCGTACGAAATTTTCTAAGACCGAAAAGGTTAGAATGGGTTGGGTTTTGGCTGCCATTCATTTCTTGATATATGTGCGATATTACCCGTTGGAAGTTTACATTTAACAAAACCAATAGAAATTATTTCGGACGTTTAAAATAATAATTATCCGCAAGGATAATGGATATTTGCTATATTTGTAAACTTTTTTGAAACAGATATTAATATGATTACCAATAAATTAAAATATAATGTGATGCCATGACGAGATTGCACCGTGGTCATGACACTAAAATATTTATTATTTGCTTACGATTGACGGCTGTGCTGTCCAGTATTTCAGTATTTCACTATAAAGAACAAATGTTAATAATTAATTGGTAGGTAATTATTTTTAATAAAAGATCTTAATGCCTAATTCAGATTTAGTTGAAAACCATTAATATTGTACAGAATAATCAATTTATGATGATGAACAAACAATTTTTTCGGAGGGTTTTAAGTGAATTTGATTTCTATTTTTTCAAATCATTACGGAGTCGTTGAAGTTTTATTTAAAAACTATTTTTAATTTGTATACCTAATTCGTATACCTCAAATGAGTATATACTTTTGATTTTCCAAAAAATTTTGATCCATATATCAGTATAACATTAATGTCGAATTTTGTCGTTTATGAGTTTGTGTTTTAACAGTTTAAAATTTATACAGTAGGTGTAGAGAAGGGTAATTAATCCCATATCCATTTTTAGATGATAAATTCATTAACCTTTCCTCTATCTTGGTTTAAACTTTAAACTGTTATAGCTCATAATCGGTATACCCGATATTAATATAATACTTATCAATATTTTTTAGAAAAATATCCTCCATTTTAAAGCCACGCTCATGCTATCTCTTATCTTATATACTCGTTCTTGATCTATTCTCTCGTCATTATGCTCTTCCACTTAAGCATTCTCATTTATTTTCAGTTTTATTTTTTTATTTACCACCCACCAGTCTTCCAATCTGCATAGTTGATCTCATCACACTCTTGTAGAACTTACCTTTCATTTTCATTGTAATTCTCTTGTATCTACCATAAAATACTTGACGCTTCTCTCCTCTTGATCCAATCACATTTAATACTATGTTTCACTTTTTCGTCAAACTCACCATTATTTTGTACAAAAAATCCTAGTTACTTAAAATTCTCAACTTCGCCTATTAAATCACCGCTTAATGTCACTTCTTGTTTCGACAATATTTTATCCTCTTCTTTCAAATTCATATTCTATTTTACTTCTACTTATCTTTAATCCCTTTAATTCAAGTGCAACTCTACATTCCTCAAGATTATTGTTAACTTACTCCAGATTTTTTTACATAGAAACTTTATCATCTGCAAACATGCAAACATAATGGTACTTTATCTTGTATTTCTTTCGTAACTTCATCCATTACAACAGTAAACAGGAAAGGGCTCAAAGCTGACACACATCTACATCAATCCAAAATTCTTTCGTTATTCTTTCAAAAATATTCTCTATCAAACTCGTCTCCTGGTATTGAATGACTAAATAACGAGCTCCATGGCGTTTTACACAACCGTCTAGTCATTCAGCATTTTACATAACAATCGTTATATTTTTTTTTCTTCGTCCTGCTTATAGCTACCTCGAGGACGATTCGGTATCCGGTTTCTGGTCCTGGCTGTTCGTGCTGTCCAAGTTGCCCGAGCTGGGCGACACCATATTTATCGTGCTCCGCAAACAACCCCTGATCTTCCTGCACTGGTACCATCACATCACCGTGCTTCTGTACTCGTGGTTCTCGTACCACGAGTTCACGTCGTCCGCACGGTGGTTCGTCGTCATGAACTACTCGGTGCACTCGATGATGTACACGTACTACGCAGCCCGGGCGATGGGCTACAGGCCGCCCACGCAAATATCTATGTTCATCACGGCCAGCCAGCTAACGCAGATGATTGTCGGGTGCTTTATTAACTACACCACGTACGGTTACCTGAAGGCGGGTGGCCCGCAGTCGTGCCGCGTGTCCAAGCTGAACGTCACCCTGTCGTCCGCCATGTACCTCAGTTACCTAGTGTTATTCGCTCAGTTCTTCTACAACGCGTACATCCTGAAATCCAAGGGCGGTCGTGGCGGGGCCACGCAGAAGGCGTCCAAACAGCACTGATGATATTTCCCTACCCACTGCACACTACCATCGACGACGAATATTTGATTTCTACCATGGCCGAACTGATAATTTTAGTATTAACTTTCGATACTAGATAGGCACGTGTTATTATTATTTTTCTATCGATCGAGGCGTATTCTATATTTCCATTCCGCTTCTTATTATCCTTATTTAAATTTCAACTTGTCTGTACTTTATACACTATAAACGTGACAAAAAATACATTCTTTGGAGGTGAAACGAACGTCATTGGGTTTTGTAGATAACATAATAATCATAGGCATTGTAGCTTCTTGACGTGCATAATATGTTTATCGAACTAGGTTTCAGTATAATAGGCAATAAAAATAAAAATTATAGGTACTTTCCATATTTTATTTTTGTTTTTAATAATTGTGTAAAAATATATTGTGTTTTTGTTATTATTGTGTTGTTGTTTTTACAATCTACGTTTGTAATGATGATGGCCCTTGGCCCTTGGTCCTTCGTCTCGGGTCCATGTCATGATCTATTCGAATCAGGACTTCTTTACGTGTTCGAAAATCAGTCGTTCGAACGAGACGTGTTTAGATCAGTAAGGTTGATTGAAACTGATATGAAATCATAATAATATAGGTACTTTTATTTACAGTGTAAAGACATTTTGATTTACACGTGTGTGTACTTAACAACTATGGTAATTAGATGTGAAGACTTAATACCGGGTTGCACCAAATATTTACACAGAGATAAACACGTTTATCTGGAATTGAAATAAATTCTGTTGCATAAACCATGTTTTAAATTTTATCTGTTGATAAAAATTTATTATATCATGAGACAGATCCATTAATCGATGTGTATAATTAATGTATGTGTGATTAAATTTCTTTATCAATGTTTTACGTTATTGTGGTGATGATCGAAAATATTAGATATTAATGAATTATTTTAGTATTGTGTTGTGTATATTTTATATTTTTTTTCTTTTCTAACTTGATTAAGTTAAATAATAATGAGTAAGTAGTTAGAATGATCTTCATTAAGAAATAATTTAAACATCTAACTATAGAGCCAATACAAGTTTCTTTTCATCTTTACCGTAATGGTTTTTCTCCATTTTTTCTGAACATATTGTTCACAGTAAACTTATAACAAAATAAATGTATAACGGCAAATATCTGATTCTTAAATCATAACGGAAATTAATAATGATAATATACCATTAGTTTATCATTGATAAGACCTTTTATGATAATAATATTAAATTATACTACTGGTACCATTTATTTGATAACCATTGTACTGGTAATAAATTGAATATAAAACCAGGATTGAGCAATGTTGATGTAACAAGCGAATCTGACTTTTGGCAAATGTGACTGCAGTGAGTTATATTAGCCCGGCGAATGAATTAATTTGTATTTATAATTATATTTTAAATTATTTATATACAATTTATTTTATATTTTCTTACTTATTTATTATACCATTTTAGATTCTGAGAGGAGCAAAAAAGCTTATGGTTTTACAAAGATATTTTTTTTTTCCCATAGGACAACTTTTCTATCAGCAATTTTGCTCCAATTTTTAATGTTAGCAATTTTTCTAAAAGGAAATTTCACTGGGGAGGTACTTTAGAGAGGTTGTTTATCGATTTTCTCCGTATTTTTCTTAGCAGATGTGAAAAACTGGGAAAAAAACATGGTAAAATCAGGAAAAACGTAAAAAAAACCGGGGAAATCGGTACAATATTAAACAAATATTATTAAAGAAAATATGTATAGCCTATTTAATTATTTTACTATAATATTGCATGTATATTGTTGACAAAGCATTACTATCTATTGAACTCCGTTCAGAATCGTTTTTTCGTAAGCAATGGTTTATCGTTACTTGCAGGTATACATTAAATTACCTATAAAAATGGCTGCACCCGTCCACATTATCCTAGGAATTTTGATAATTTATTGGAATACTGAATATTTCTTATTCATAATACAGGTATTTTATTGTATTAATTTATAAGCATTATACATTTCTATTTTTGGCAATAATGATTTAAACTATATCAATTTTATTTATTATATTTAAAATCGGTAAACCGCATTAATTACTTACTTATAATACACAAGGCGAAAAGTGAGCCGCGTTCGTCACGCGCCAAGCGGTCATTTTACCTGCTTTCAGTGGTTTTACGTTTGAGAGGAATGGAAACTGCTGACGCGTACTTTAAAAAAGGCAGGTGGTAATTTATAGTGCTATTCATCATATTTTGGAGACCAATTCTTTATCATACAGCTGCTGCATTCCACAATATTTTATTAATTTTGGTTAGTCATTCGTGATACGAGTTTGAACATAAGTATAATGCATGGTACGTGCTTTATAGTCGAATCATTATTCACTTATTATCTACGTTTGTTATCATATTTCCCGCGTTCGCATATCGTTGGTTTTTAAAGTGCGCGCTTTTAAAGTTTGAATGCTTGTGATATTTTAATTATTTCTTTAATACAAATATTTTTAAAATGGCATATCAAGACACATATTCTCAAACGAAGAAAGTAATTTTTCACGTTTATAATTATTTCAAAACATTAGCTGGTAACAAAGGTAGGCCGGAACTTAGTAATTTCTTTTGTCAAACTCGTGAAATTACTGCTGAAGCGTGTGGCGTAAGTCTTGCTTGTGTTAAACGAGTTTTCGCTGAAGGGAAAAAATTATCTATGGGAGAAAATTAGCTAGATGCCGAACCTTCATTATTTAAGTCTTTAAGGAAAAGTTATAAACGTGCCAAACCTATGATCAACTTAGACGATTTTGATAACGAAGTTGTCAAAAGAACAGTTCATAGTTTTATGATACTAGTCAGTGCCCAACAAGTGCAAAAATATTGAGAGCGTTGCATGAACAAATTAATTATTCGGGTTCACAATGGTCCGTGTGACATATTTTGCGTAGTTTAAATTTCGAATACAAAAAATGTAATGATGGGCGTAAGTTTTTAATGGAACGAAATGATATTGTTTGTTCTCGGCACATATGGCAAAACTCCGACAATACCGAAGGATTAAAAGTACCCATTGGAAAGGGCGGTCGGCTTATTGTGCGTCACGCTGGGTCACCTTCGTTTGGTTTCGTCAAAAATTAAAAAATTGGTTTTTCGTTGCAAGTCGGGATCGCAAGCAGACTGTCATTCTCAAATGAACACGACCATTTTTCATAAATGGTTTATGAATATGTTGGGCAATTTAGAAGAACCATGTATAATTGTGATGGACAATGTCATATACCATTCTACCATAACAGAAGAGGACCCCAAGGCAAATAGGCAGATGTACAAAAAGGTTACAAAACAAGTCTGTTGACTTTTCTCCACTAAAGACATTAAGCGAACTATGAGAAAAAGTCAAATTGAAGAAAAAAATTATAAATTGGATGAAATTGCACTTCAAATGGGCCATGAAGTGTTAAGAATTCCTCTTAACCACTGTCAATACAACCCAATCGAATTAATCTGGGCGCAAGTTAAGGGTAAAGTCGCGGAAAAAAATAACACTTTCAAAATTGTAGATGTGGAAGTGTTAGTAAATAGCGCTTTAGACACAGTGACAACAGAAGATTGGGCAAAATGTGACGATCGTGCCTCACTTTTCTCCTCGCGTAATATAGTTAGTGCTTTGGGTATTCATTGTAATCTTTCATGCAGTTAGCCTGTGTTTCTGTTTGCTAACATTTAAATTATAATGAGGTAGTACTTGCCGATGAAATTGTGAACTCAACCACGCGGGGCAGGTTAAAGTTTTATGGAAGTACACGTTTGATATAGTCCGTACCATGGGTAGGCCATTTGTTAAAGTTACAAATGAAGTGGTGTCCGATGAGATGGGGCTCAAACTCGTAGGATAGGTGTAAAATTCATGAAAATATCTTGTTTCCGTACTTCACAATATGGGTGGGTTATTGTTGTTATATACCCTGTCCAACTTAAGAGTATACCCGGCGGTGAACGGAAACACTTCCGTTTTCGCGGAATGTTTTAAGCAATGCCATTTGTCTATGTTACCCGTTAATTTGACTGAAACAATATAAGTAGGTATATGCGTGTACGATTTATTGTAGATATTATAACATTCTGTATACACGACAACGGCGTACGATCGGTAACCATTGTTTCCGATTCATCAAGTTCAGCAACGTTCAGCGTTCAGTCAGGTATGTGCAAACGGGTATACTATTAAGTTGGACAGGGTATAGGTTGGAAGTTGGAAATGACATAGTATGTTTATTCATTTTTATCTATCTACGTGTATGATATTTTTTGTTTATGCAATTATTAATTTAGTTTTCCAACAACTATTATGAAAATTAGCACCTACGGTTATTGATTACTGAAAACCAGTACGAATATAAATTATTTACAATAATATTACTGGGTATGTACTTTTAATTATAATTATATTATACAAAATTAATTCGGCCCATTTACTTTCACAAATATACATCAGTTTTCAACGTCGTTGAATTCGCGGTAAACCCTATCGTGTGTAAAATTCCAGGAATCGTTAATTAAAATCGGGTAGTCTCCTATGATAATAATCTACCGAATTAGATTTTCCAATAAATTGTTGCCCATGAATCTTAGAAATATCCGTGTGTTTTCTGTATTTTATTTTATTTCCTAAAAATATTGATAAAGCTATTTTGTAAAAATGCCATTTGACTACGGACGACGTTTTCTACCAGAAAAATATGATTTAATCGAAAAATCACAAAAAAATCTTTTTTGTTGCTTTTTTTATTTAATTTCTTACGGTATAATTGCCAAAAATTTTGAGCCATTATTGAGCTTTTAAGGAATTTTAATTTTTGGGAGTATTTTGCTGGAATTCGGTTATAAATACACGTAGAGACTTGAAACTTGGTAATAATACTCATACTGGACTTACCTATACGTGGTAAAATTTCCAAAATCATTGGACGACTTTTTTTCTTATTTTAAATTTTTTACAATGGTACTTAATTATTTTTTTTTTTAAAAAACTTACTCCAACGTACGAGTGTAGCACCTTTTCTAAAAGTTAATTTTATCTCCTAATAATACATAGATCATTTTTTGATTTTCAAAACGGTACTTAAAATAAAAACGATTAACCGGAGAAAAAATACGATTTTTTGACGATTTCGTTAATTTAAATAAGTAGGTACTTATTTAACGTGGTCCGTGGTAGGCACCACGTTTTTAGCACAAATATATCTCCAATTGAAAAACGACAAAACAACATTATTTTTTTTTTATAAGCGTTTTGAATCAAATTTAATCGAAAATCGCGAAAAAAAAATTATGGCACTTCAAAATTATGTATAAGCTAACTACACTCGGAATCGTCTTTCGTCAGTAATGGTTTATTGTTATTTACAGATATAAATGAAATAACCTTATGTATCCTACCTTCCCAACCTCCCACCTACAACACTGGCTGCACCCGTCCCCAGTATCAGCTCTTTTTTGTTTTTAACCACTAAGTACAATTTTTAATGAATCCCGTGTTCAATTTTCAAGTATATCTGTTAGGCTAGACAATTTTATCTTTATAGAATCATATCAAAATTTAAAAAACCTCTAAAATGCCTATAAACAATTTAAAAATATTAAAAATTTAAACGGAAAAGGCTAATTGTGGCATCATGTAAAAATTCCAGGTATCTATGATTATTTTTAACTGAATTACAACAAAATACCAAAATTGAAAATGATTCCGTAAACTTTCTCGGTTTCCTACTTTTTCTCCCATAATGCGATTTTAAATATGGCCTATTTTTACCATTTTTTTCGTTTCCTAATTTAAAATCGAAGCCCAATGTGCCCCGTAGAAAGCCGTCTTTTTTCAAAAAAAGAAAATAACATCGTAATCTGACGCTTTTACGTGGCAGGAGAGTTAACCCTGTAAATAGTATAAAGTAAATCATATTTTGAATAAAAAATAAGTCGTGTTCAGCTCTTTTAATACAGAAATTAATACTGTTTGAATTGTGTGTTAAAAATTGCTAAGACGTTTTATTTATAATTTATACAAATAAAAAATAAAATAAAAAACCATTAAAAAAAAAAAAAAAACTGTATTTATAAGGCGATGACTTTCTAAGTATTGAATTTTTATTTCCGTATGCACTGTCACTGTACTGGCGGCGAGAATATTTAAATTTGTTTTTTTTTCGGAGAAAACAAGCGCAAAAATCGAGTCGTTCTTGAAACTAGTGATTATGCACAAATGTTAACTCATAAATTTAATAAACAAGTTTTTCTTACATACATGTGCAGTACGAAACTTGAATATAATATTGTTAGTCTTAAGATGATAACGTTGCCCGGAAGTATAGTGAAATGATTTTATACCCGTTTGGTTGCAATTATACAGGTATCCAACGAAGGTGTCCATTGTAATATCTCCGGAGATAATAAAGACAATCAAATTATGTTTTTTTATTACTCACAGGGATAAGAGCGATAAATATTTATATTTCAATTACTCATAATAATTTCAATATTACCTCCTGTTAAGGTTTCGAAATTGCATGGCTGACAACTGTTGAGTAAATGCTCGTAACTAACTCAAAACGACATTCAGAGACGTAAAATTAGAAAAATAAACGATACAAATTAATGGGTGGACGATATGCGAATGCATGAACCTAACGAATGAAATAATATTATGCTCAATGGTATCTGCGCGGTAGTAATAATTTGGCTACATATTGTTCGTCGACCTTATTTAAAAATACCGTCAGTAGATATTCGAAAATTGTGTGAATTCGTTAACAATGATTTGAATATCGTTTGTGAAATCCCATTAATCAATGGTTTACATTGGGATACAAATTTAAAACATATTTAAAATGAGCTGCTTGGAAATAACGTCTTAATTATTATTTCGCTGTATTTTGAAGTCGTATATCAACAGAAATATTAACCGGTAAGTAACATTTGTGAAAATAATTACGTATGTCTAAATTTCAACATCAATTTTGTATTAGTGTAACAACTTGTAATTTTAAACATTTAAGTTTATGATAACGTCTTATATACCTATGTCTAGCCGTTTAATGTACTCGTGTCAGGGCCATAGCTGAGATAATAAGTCTAGAAATATACACAGGATAGATACTCGTATGAGTTTTTTTAAACACGGTCAAATTTTTGAGAAATGTTTGAACTTAAACTCATGAATTACGGCTGCAAAATCGTATAAATATCAACGCTTCGACTGTACAGAAATGATGAGGACCTTGAAGACGTGTAAAATACTTGGATAAGGTCGTTGTGACTGTTTCTACAAAAAAGATTATACAAACCGGCGGCACAATAAGAAAATACAACTGTGTGAACGGGTGTAACACGTTTGGAGTGTTTGAACAATGAGACTCACTCGTAAAACTAGTCTGAATGGTTTTACAATCGTAAATTATATATTATAATATGAATACTAAATTGATATTGATATTTTATGAATTTCAAGTTTATAATTTGATTCAGTGGCGAAACAAACGCGGTTTCCGAGAAGCGGTTGCGTCTCGGTTGCTAAGTATAAAAATAACTACATATTATAGTATTCGTTTATTATTAATTTGGTAAAAATATTGGATAACATTGGGGGGTAGGTAATGAGTAGATTTTACGTTGCTCCGGGTTGATTTTGGGTTCGTTTCACCACTAATTTGATTTATGATAATAATATATAAATAGGTACTTTAAAAACTTAGTTTTATAATTTTTACAATGTTTTTTTTCTTCAATTAAGGAATGAAAATAAGAATTAAAATGTTTTCTACATATATGTCCCTCTCGCATAAAACCCGGTCAAAAAAAAAAAAATAAATATTAACAAAATTATTAGCATAAGGATAACACTTTAGGACAGTTAAATTAGATAACCTAACCTCTGTATATTATAGTTTTATCATTTTGGTTTTATTCGTAAGCCGTTATTGTTCGTTTATAGTACAGAACTGTAGAATACTATATAATTATTATTATATGTGAAAACTTCGACCAGAAATCCGAATCCGGCACACGTAACCTATACGTGATGCACTAATGTTGCATTACCGTTATTGTACTCGTTGATCATCAAAGTATATTTTTATGAGAACCCATGATAATAAAATGCAATATGGTTTTTTTTCCTTACGAAGATTGTGTTATTTTCAGACATTGTAAAATCGTTTATTGTTGACATATTTTTCAAAATTTTACCACGCAGGGGTACCATAAATACGTATTGACTATTTTAAAATATATCAACTTACGGTACTATATATCTATAGGCTGGAGAAGTTAGGAGTATGGAAGGAAATGAAATGAAACAGCCCATCTAAAATTGGATATAAAATTTATTAAATAAAGTTCTTTTTTGTTGTTATTGTTATTCGGTCATTCAGGCGAGCGGGTAGAACTTGCGACATAAGTTTCCTCTCCCCGACATCCGGGTTTTAGAATATTTCACGGTAAAGGCAATCATAATATTATGTATCGACGTTTGCATAAAATTTATACAGATGTCTGCGATGCATTAGAAATATATAGGCATCTGCTCGATTCTGGCCGTTGGTGAAACATACGTAGATCGACAGCACGAAATAAATTATACCTATATAGATATATAGGTATCTACCAAGGTTATATACTGATGACCGAACGTAATGGGTAACTGACGAGAAATTACGCGCAGAGTCAAAGGACAACGATATTATATAGCTGTATGGCATATAGGCATATTAAATTATGGTATGATTTCAATTTGAAACACAATAATAAATCGAAACGTCGGTGCATTATTATATCGAGACAGGTTCTTTTTTATTTTTTTTTTTTTTATCAAAAACTAGGTATAGGTATATATATTTCATAATATTTACGATAAAGAAAAAAGCGGCTGCGTCAGTTTTTGTGCGTAATAATCAGATATAGCTCTCCGGTTGTTATATAACGCATTAACGCCTATCATCACTTTTCATCGATTGAAATAATTCTTTTATACATTTATTATATCTCTATATAATTATGCAATTTTAAATGTTTTGAACTCGTAATAAAATATATAATGATTAATAAATGGAGAACAAGAAAACTCGTCGAAGATTCGGATCAAACAACCATCATTAGATAGCATTTTCAGATTACGGAAAAAAAAAAAAAAAACGTCGGTACACAATACAGTAACTACTGTATAATATAGTTTGCAAGGGTAAACTTTTCATCAAATTTCTATAGATTTTAGTCTGGTTTTTTTATTAAAAAACATATTTTACAGAAATAATTCTCTAAAGTGAACCGATTTCGATAACATGTTTTTCGTTGAAAAAAGGATGACTTAAGAATTATTATAGCTCTTACGTGGGACATTGGACTTGGATTTTGAAAGTTATAATTCTTAATGCTATATAATTAGAGTTTAAATATGATACATTTTCTCCATTCTCTCTCCCCTCCCCGTGGTTTTTGGACACATAATCAAAAATCAAAGTCTATCCCTGTAGAGAATTTTCCATTTTCAAACAGGAAAATAAACACAAAGTATGAGAGTTTTTAACTGATATGCTATGGTTTTGATTAATAATAATTTGTGAAACGCTACAATCATCAATATTATAAGTTCCTCCTGATCAATTTTTCGAAAACTGAGCCCCGTATTATAGTCATCAATATAGGCACTGTCAATAATAAACAATCAGTCTATATTTTATACATACGGCATTGCTATCACTTCAATTTATTTAAGTGTGTTGCCGATGTTCTGCGAGAACTCTAGTGCGGTGAAGCCAAACAATAATATAATAGGTACAATAAGGTTAATAATAACAAGCGATTACACGACATGAAATTATATTTGCATATGCAAATGTGTTAGTTCATTGGTGATCATGTTTAAACATGCATTTTTCATTCTTATTATATAGATAGTAAAAATATTATTGCCAATGAAATACGATTATGAGCGAAGTTCGGTTATGCATTTTTTAAAACGCTTTAAAAAACTATTAAATTATACTCAATTTTTTATTCACCATTACATACAACTTAATATGATTCCCGTGTTAAATTTTTAAGCGTTTCTGTTTGGTCAAACAATTCGGCGGGACTCGGTAGGCAGATTTTAATGAAATCTATGCCAGTTTTGTCTATTTTATATAATTTTGAATCGGTATAAATCAAACTCAACGGGAAGATAAGTTCCCTGTCTGGTACTGAATATTGACGAGAGTTAATGTTAATCGATCATCAATCTTATTAGTTATTATTCATCAGACACGATGACGACGTGTATGTGAATAGAGAGCGGATATATGAACAAATCTCGTCGATATGTTTTACGCTGCAAATTTTCCGGTCGGTTATATACTCGTATAGGTACTTATACGTTTCAAAAACAATTACTATAACGGTGGTTCTAGACGTACGAGTTTAATGATCTACCGTGTCCGACATGAGTAATATAAATGTTTTGTTTAAGATTGCTGCAGTATATAAAATGTACTTCGTGATGACGAAATAAAAAAATATATCTGCCGAAAAGTTATGTTTGAAAAAAACAACACACAAATATAGGTAAGAAAAATATCGTTAAACTCCAATACAACATTATAATAATTAGGATAGGGAATTATAAATTATAGTAGGAAAAACCTATATTTATTTAGTAGCGATGTGTGTAGATAGTCGAGTGTGTTGGCTTTGCGGATATTATAATATTCTAATGAAAGGAAGTTGTGCGCCCGCGTAATATACACGTTGAGTACCTACAGCCGATAAATCGCAGAGATTTGAAATTTCGAACTTAGGCGGGAAGTATTCACAAAGATTTCGAAATCGGATTGAAAAATTTGCGATTCCTTTAAAACGTGGACGATCAACGTTTATTTTGAACTTTGGACTCGGAATGCTTAATATTATAAGCATATTATTAATTTGCATATTATATAGGTAGGTGTATATTTTTTACAAGTAGAAAATAATACGATTATTATTAGAATACAATAAACACCGGATGACCTAAATATTCAAGACGATACTGTTATTAAAATTCACTATATTATATAGGTAAGTTTTGTAATATTATTATCTGTGATTTCAAATGCATTTTCTGTGACTTTTCGAGTGTATTAGGTATAAGTGCAGTAATTTTCGAAGAAACGATTGATAAAGCTAATTAGTCAATTATAATAGTATTTGGAAGTATGTTGGCGTATTTCAAATATGAAATATTGATTTAAATAAAATGCTATACATAATTATATTATATATCGATACATATTATGTACAAAAACAGAATAATTAATACCTATAAAAACCTATAATACCTATTGATACTTATATAAATGATAATATTATTAATTATTTAATGGAGTCTTTCTTAGAAACTTTTTAAATTATTTATGTTTTTTCTCACGAGATTTACTCGTGGTTTTTAATTTTTGTAGTGTTAAACTGGCTATGCTAGTAATATTAAAAAATAAAAAATAGGCAACTTTGTTTCATGCACTAATAACCTAACTAATTTTATTATTTTTAATTAAATAAATACTGACCCTTAAGAAAAAAATTGTAGCTACTTTACACACAGTAAATTGAAAATGACATCTTTTATATTGTACCGGTGTAATTACAGTTTTTTAACGAAGTTTATAGTTTTAAAAAAGTTGAAAATATTGAAAGTATTGTGTGGATTGAGGGCTTCTTCGATTGTTGTAGGATTGTTGAGAAGATGACGTGAGGCTGAGAAATTCGGACAACGAATAATAATATGTCGCATGTTGGTTTGGGTTCTTTAGTAATCAGTAGAGCGCGGATTTATATGCATTTGCATATTTAGTTTGGTTGATTGTATGACATGCTAAGTGAGCACAAAATATGTTTCATGACGTAACGATTTAAAAAATGAAACTTTTTTTAAGTGCATATCGATTACGACCAATGACCATTTATAATTGATATTGTTTCAGTCACGTTAAAATATTTACCGTGCGTTTGTGTGTTCTTTCTATTGTAATTCGCGTTTTCATTACTTTATTTTTATCAAAATGCCGAAAGATAAATCGTTGTTATCGAGAGTCGTATAAAAACATATGTATATAAATATATCTATATTTATTTATTTCATTTTAAAAAGTACTTTATTTTCATATAACTTGATAAACTTTTAAGTTCCTGTTAGAAATCTAAACCTGTATCTATATAGTATAAACTAATAAAATCAAATTTGTATTTTGATATTAGACACAAAATGAATAGATTCATACTTAGGTACAAACAATATTTGATTAATTAATATTTGTATTTACAATGTATAATTGGTACCTACCATCTTGATTTTTATCGATAACAACCCGTGTCCTAAAAAACCACATGGTCCCATGGGTCGTAATTTCCGTACTATTGGGACAATATTATTATGTTTATTTATAGATGAAGTGATATTCGGAATACATAATTTTCGAGGCTCTGCACAAGCGCCATTACCTGCTCTCCCACCCTAGGGTGGGCACTGAGTGACAGGTGTGCCATGTACCATTAAAATTTAGTGCATATATTTATGCATATTTAAGATTTTTTAACGCATATTTGGTCGGTTTTTAGTGTGTATAAATCTGCGCTCTAGTAATCAGATAAAAGTGGGTGAGATGTGAGTGGCCTATTCTGGTTCTATTGATTATGATTTGTTCTGTCCTAGATGCGTTAATAGGGTATGCTTATTTTACTACTGTTTTGTTTTAACGTTTCTTAGTTTATTGTTGTATTTATTGTTGATGGGAGTGGACTCTTAGTGATTTTGCCAAGTACTAAGGATCCGTTTCTTAGCTTCATTTATCCAATCTTTGTAAGGAATTTTGTTTAAGATAATTTACGATGAGAATGAAACCAGTTCGTGCGCTACTGCATCAGCTTTCTCGTTCCCTGTGATTCCTACCGTGAGATGGTATCCACATAAAATTGATTATGTTTCTCGATGAGGAGATAAGTTTATTGGTGAATTGAATGAGTTCATTCTGAGGCAGTTGCTCTTGAAGAGACAATAGACCACTAAGACAATCATTCATTATAAGAGAACATTTATTGTCTGATATGGCTGCAAATTTTACTGCCAAATATATTGCATACATTTCCGCTGAGCATATGCTAGTGAATGTAGGAAGGCGGAATATTCTAACTAAGGGACAGTTTACTATTGTGAAACCTGTTCCTATTGAGTTTTTTGATGCGTCTGTATACATTAGCGCATGGTCGTGATAATGGAGGTAAACTAATTTGCAGAAGTGTGTGACAATGATTGAGTTTGAGGTTGAGTTTTTGTTGTATTTGAGAAGATCTGTATTTATATCGGGAGACCAAGTCCAAGACGCGGATTATGCAAGGTGAAATCTACATTATACAACGTTTAAAATAGTGATTCAATTACTGGCTCTACCTGTTATAAATTTAAAATGTTGGTAGCGCAATTAATGTATACCGTTTTGAAAAAAAAGTTCATTGTAACCCAATTCTTGGGCGCCCGATCACGGTAGTCGGGATAGCTGCGTGTCTGAGTCGATGATTCGAAAAATCAAATGAAAAGATTGAAGAACAATACTGTCCGTTTGTTTATTTGTTGATCAGTGTACTATATCGGCCTGGGCAAGTACTATCGATAATGTTATAGTATCAAAACGATGAAACATTTGTATACAAGGAAGAATAAATGGGAATACCTAGTTTAGGTAAATTATATTCAATTTTCTCGAAATTTAAAATGTGAGACTACTCGTTTTTTCCCCGGATCTTTTAAATTGACTTAAAATTTTCGTAGACATGTATTATTATCGGTGGTTCGAGATAGATGAGGTAATCTGTACCACAATAAATGCTTATATATTACATGAGATATTTTTACTCCGGAAAACGATTAAAAACATCGTCTATACAATGAATATAACAGACACATAGACACGGCATTTTAGGTAACCGCATATCGCAGGTAGTATTTGTATTAGTTTACAAATTACGTAAACTAACAAATAATTTATTATTTAACAGATGAAATATAACTTGACAAAATTGTTGTATATTTTTATAATTGAATTATATAATGACAATTACTGTATGTGTGAACATCGTGACTTACATGGTGATCGTACGAGTACATAGTATGTACTCGTACGATCTTGGAATTGACTTATCATGGAAAAACTTCGTAGACATTATTTTTATATGCTTCTCAAAAATATGAAATTATTTTGCCCTATAAATAAGGACCACCCTAGTACATATTAACCTTAAATCTATCTTGACTATATGCTTGACCATTATACTATGTTATCGTTGTAACCATTGTAATACTGATAATATATCATACAGTATTATTTTTAAACATTTATATTTTTTGTTGGTTTTAGATTTCCACCAAAAATTGTCAAATAAAACAAAAAACATAAAAAAAAATCCCAAGAATAATAATGTACAAACAAAAGTTTGTTATACTATATTTATTGTAAACGTTACATTAGCATTTCAATTTTTTTTATATTTTTAAATGCGTTAATATTATTCGAATTTTCAATTTAATTATTCAATTCGTTGATAATGAATTTATATGACATATACGTTTAATCCATAAGGTATCTAGGTCTATTCATTAGTTCAGTCGGGTGTCAAGTAGAATAGTGTCTTCAATTGGCTTTATCACTTTTTCCAATAAAAAATTATGCAGGTATTTTTTTTTTTTGAGTTTTAACTTTTAACTACTGAAATGTTTTTTTTTTTTTATATATATATATATATTCGTAAATATATATTTCATTTATTTAGAAAGTTGTGATAAATCATAAGTTTACAAAGATATAACTATATTATATATAGAGATATACACCATAGGCATGAAATACCTATATAATATTATATACTTTAATATCACATAATACATTTTAGAATTGTTTATATAATTTTTACTAAATTGACCTAATAGTAGGGTCATGTGCATTTTCACTAACCTTGAGAATTTTAATTTTCTTTTTAGTTCGAGTCGAATAATATGACCTTTCCACTATTGAATTATTTTCGTAGCTAATTTGTTTTTAAAAGCAATTTTGACAACTCGATAAAATATAATAATATCTGTTTTATTGCATTCTATATATATATATAAAGCCAATATAGATTTAGTTTTTTAAAATCAGTACCTAATATGTCTTATTAGTAATTTAGCATTTACTATTGAAATTAATTAACGGCATCCAAAATGATTGAGAGAAATTCAGATCGAGTGATGGAGCTTTACGAGTGGTTTTTTTGTGTCCCCATTAAATTTTAGATATCAAAAAGTACCTATTTGTACCTTTAACTATATACTTATGGACTGTGATTTATTATTATTATTTCTTGTTTTGTTCGTGCTGCAGACAGCAACTCATATACGGTGAACGTTTGCATGATCTTTGTCTACTACGGGAACCTCCATAGACTGAACTTCAGCGCGGATAAACGTAAGCCGGTTTTTGATTTTTTTTTTTTTTTATCTGACCATCTTCTCTAAACCACTCGTGGATTTTAAGATTTAAGGTTATACTTCGTTGTTATAATATACCGGAATGTTTATCCATACAATAAAGTTATCATAACTGCATCAAGTATATAAAGTACTTAATTGTCTATATTTAGGTAACTAAATATAGACAATTTATGTCGTGTACCTATGTATGATGTTTACGAAATACTCGTTCAGGCTTTGGAATTTCTCTAGAGTATAGATATTCTTCTCTATAATTAATAATTGTTACTCTATAGTAAATATAAACTATTTTTCCTGCAGAATTTAATTTTTGTTTTTTCTCCAGTTTATGTACATCACCATCATCATATGTTGCAGTCATATGAACTAATTTTAAATCGAAATGCAAAACACTTTAACTATAATGTGCAAATTGACATTCTTGAGCCTATCGATTAGTTTCCTGTAATACGACTGCAGTATGGCGGCGTGTTATTTTGTACTGGGGATAACCATACAAATTTTAAGAGCTCATTTTCGATTTGTTTTCATCTGCGCGCGAGGGTTTTCAAATTTCTCAAAATAGCTCAACTGCTTATTAAACCTAGAGCTAAATAAATCTAATCATAATAATAATAATAATAATTCGAGCGGAGTACCTAAAAAATGTATTATTTTTTATTTCCCGTATTTATCATAAACAAGTATATTATATAGTTTAGTAATAATCATTTATGCCTTCATACAATATACGACTGCACGTTACATAAGGCTATCATCAGGCTTACATCAGATAATATATTATATTTAATATAAAATCAACGGCACACCATTTTATAGTTACTAAGTTACCTATAGTAAATTGAATTAATTTAAATAAACATTTTACGAAATATGAATTTAAATAAATGTAGACTTAATATAAATTTAGTCGATTGCGAATATTATATTCTATTATGTTCGATAAATTATTGGAAATTCAGCTTTTTTTAATCAAATTTGTTGACAGTTACGAGCAATCAATTATAGGCACCCACTTCAAATTATTTCTCTTAATTTTTTTTTTCTTTTATTTCGTTCGATAAAATATAACGAAACGAGATTTTAATAAATAATAATACGCAATGTGATAATGTGCAAACAAAAGATTTGAGTAGTAAATAATTTTGAAAAAAAGTTTCATAAAACGTAGAAATTCGACAAGGATCTGCATGTACTGTTTGTGAATTTGAAAACAATATATGAAAGTACTAATAGATAATGTATATTTGGTATATCAGAATACCTAATTTTGTTTTCTATAGAAAATTACCAATATAGTGAAGGCAAATAAAAATGCCAACATTAAAGTTAAAGTAGAAAGATACTCGAGAGAGAGAGTGAAAGATCTAAATAAATACTGGTGTGAGACAGAGTGATGCCCTTTATGTATAACCTAATTTCGTTCAGAATCGTTTTTTTATTAGTAATGGTTTATCGTTGATTATATAAATAATAAATAACTTTATATATCTCACTTACCCAACTATCTACTTACAACAGTGGCCTCACGTGTTCCCCGTAACTACTATTTTTCTTTTTTTTTTAAATTACTGATATTAGTGTTTTATTTTTCCATCAAAGTGATACTGCTTTCCAATTAATTTTTTTTTTCGAGTTATTTCGATATTAATGTCGAATTTTTATTTCTTAAACTACCATCAATAATATTAAAATTAATCCTTAATTCCGTTTCGGACTATACGTAGAAATACAAAATACAGTATCTGCTTAATGAAGCATTTTTCGTTCAGTTTTAAATATAGTAAGTATTCGAAAAACAATTATAAAAACCAAATTAATTATTAACAAACCATTTCGGTCGAAATAAGTATTGGTTTTTTCAATAAACAAAAATGCTTGAAGATAAAAAAAACTTTCCAGTATGATTAATAACTTTATTTCGACTAATAAATTCTCATCTAGGCAAACATGTTATCAAAAGTGTATAGGTAATGATTAATGATTGTAAAGTATTACTTTTTTTTGCGGAAATGTCGATCAGTTTCGAATTTAATTATAACTTTCGATTTAATGTTTTCTGTCATGAAAAGAGTAAACCTTTAGATTTAGTGGTATCGAAGAGATGTTCATAAAATGGTTTTATTTTCTTATCATTCAGATGGGATGGTAAAAATAATCCCAAATGATAAACAATCATGGGTGCGCAGTTTTACGACGTCGCATGATCTTATTTGGTAAAGATACATGGCTATAAGTAGTACATCACTCAAGGTTGAAGGCAAGATATACACAAATATAGCAGTGTAGAAAACAAAACAGATATAAACATACATATGGATTTTTGAATTTTTTTTGGTTTAACAAAAAATGTATAGTTTTATTCTCTGTAGATTCTATATATGACTATATAATACAACTATAATATAATAATTAGATATGTAGGTAGACATTATTATTTTATTGTATTAGATTAGTGGTATTCTGGTTAATGTAGACATAGGGCACTTATTATTGTCTTGTGTGGAGATAACAACCAAAATGAAAAAAAAAAAAAATGTAATTGACAATAAAAATATGAGCTTTATTTGTAGTTTATTGTTACACAGGTATACAGATAATGAACCAGGAAAACAAAAACGAGATCGGTAGAGGACACGATAACCGGATAGACCAGAAATAAAATCATTCAATTCGTGTCGGGATTGTAATGGAAAATCAAGTCCACTTTATGACGTAACTTCAACTTGCTACGTATATACAGTACACTGAATCATCGACAACGAAATAGTCGGTATCAATTAGAATAGTAATATTATTGATCATTTGTAAGTGACTATTTTATCCTTGAAAAGTTTATTTAAAAAAAAAAAAAACAATTCTTTTATGAGCATAAAACTGAACCAAGTTCATAAACCACTTTTTTTTCTTAGTAAACTTGCTTAGTTCAAGTTAATTTGTAATTGAACTTACACTAAGTACATGCAATGGATATTTTATTACTGATTTTTATAATTTAACTTATTTATAGTGGTTTTATTGAATATCATATTAGATACTTATATGGAGTATGCAGTGTACTTTTAACTATTCAATAATCTTAAGATGATGTCACGCAGTAATATATTCGCCATTTCTTTATTTCTAAGGAGTAATATTGCAAAGTTACATTACCTGATTAGAATTTAAATTGTGTAGTCCATTAGGTTGATACCAAAAATACTTACTTAAATTATTTTCTTAAGTCTTCGATATAAAATTTAAAACCTGAATTAAAATGTTTGATCCAAATAAAGTTCATGTTCATTAAAAATATGGCCATAATTTTAAAAAAAGTTTATTCAAATAAAATTATACTTACGATCTTGATTTATGTTTCGTACTTCATTAACTTTGAATTACGAATTCATTTATTCCAAAATTTCTGAAAAAAAAATACACATTGTTAAATATCAATATTTTCAATTCTACGATATTAATTTGACTTGACGTTGCGAAAATTTAGCAAATTTTTATATTGTGCGCACTGAAAAATGAACGGTGATAATAAAATATGCGTAAGCACAATAAATAGGAATATCATTTTTTCACGTAGTATATACCTGCATAAATAATTTGGCTAGTATATTACCTTAGTTCGGAGAATTACGAAAAGCAACGCAAACTCGAAGTAAAATAAAATAAATATAAATAATTAGCCGAAACAATGGAGTACACGAATCAATGGAATTACCTACTATTATTTTATAACAAGTTCCATAAAAGTGTTTAATTAATATTAATAATAATTAATTATAAAATCATACGTCAGCAAAACTTGATATCTTCAATAATTATGTATAATATGAATATTTTTATCTAGTTTTTTTTAGCGAGTCAAAGGAAACGAAACGTAGATATTCACGATTATTAAAGTTATCATGGGACTAGAAAATTTATTTTAGTAAATTATAGTATTGACCATTAGCATTACCTATCAACTTACGATTCGCCAAAATTATTTATATAATAAATTATTTTTTAATTTTTCGAGTAGGTATTTTCAATGATTGAGAAAACCCGGAAAAAGACCGTAGTAATTTTTTTTTTATAATTGTTTTAATATCAAATTTTGATGAAAATCATAAATATTACGGTCTTTTAAATGATGTTTGACCGAACTTCACTTAGTATCGTTTTTCGTTAGCAGTGGACAGTAGTAATATAATATAATGGACGTATAATATTGTTTTTAATCATCAAATATAATGTAAGGTGAAAAAAAATCACATAATAAATCGAAAAAAAAAATGAAATTTCGTTGNTACAATATTGTATACTGTGAATTGTGTTTTGATAAAATCGATTATATCATTTAGATCAAGCGATAGAATTTTTTTTTTAATGTATCTAATAGAAAAAAAAATGTATTCTACTATATTAATTATCGATAGGAACGCTGAAACTATACTTGAATTAGCATTTTCGTCGAAGAATTTATTTTCCGATTTGATACCGGTGGAAAGAACTCTGTTAGTAATCGGGAACAAAAATGCGGTGAGTATAATATTTTATTCGTAATAATACAGAATTATCGATTTTACAGACTCGATAGATTATGGAATCAACAGTTTACATAACGGTTTTTATGCAACCGAGTATATGAGTTAATATATTATTAAAAATAATGAGAATGGAGTGATGAGATGGAAAAGTAGAGTGACGCGAGAATATAAGATAAGAAATAAGTAAATAAGAGGTAACACAGGCGTGGTTTCGATAGAAGAAAAATTACAGGAAATAAACTTAGGAAGAAAGAGAGGAATAGGAAGACAGAAAAATAGGTTGTTGGATACAATTGATTATCTATGTTATGAGGACATTCAAATACAGCCAGTGGATGCGTAGTGGGAGATTAAGTCAAATAGAAGTTTAGGCTGAAAGTAGCTGACCCAAAATATTTCGGATAACGGCAGAGAAGAAGAAAAAAAACGAATTAAACTAAAAACTAAGACAAAATATTATTAGAAAAAAACCACCAAAAAGAAACAAAAATTACCCAATGATAATATAGGTAGGTATATAATTAATTGTTTTTTTTTTTAAATAGGGGCGTTGTAAAGTAACAACGGAAAATTCACTTTACACTGCATGTGTAAATTAAATAAAATAATTATAAATAATTAGCCGAAACAATGGAGTACACGAATCAATGGAATTACCTACTATTATTTTATAACAAGTTCCATAAAAATTTAAAATTAAAAAATCATACGTCAGCTAAACTTGATATAACTTCAATAATTATGTATAATATGAATATTATTATCTATTTTTTTTTAGCGAGTCAAAGGAAACGAAACGTAGATATTCACGATTATTAAAGTTATTATGGGACCAGAAAATTTATTTTAGTAAATTATAGTATTGACCATTACCTATCTACTTACGATTCGCCAAAATTAGGTACCTTCTGTATTATGTTTTGAAATGTATTTTCAATATTGTTATACTTACTTAGTATAAAAAGTATACCTACAAATATAATCTGCTGCAATACACCGAAGCAAAATATGCAAATTCGCGTTAAATATTCATTCGTTAATTTAATAACTATTTATATAAAACGTACGTAGACAATAGTATGAGTTTTATTCATGTTATGGTAATCGATTATTATGCGTGTATACATATCCGTTCGAACATCTGAAGTTTGGGTATTTTTGTGTTTAATAATGTTATACACATAGGCGCAATTTCACATTTATACTGGTGGGGGGGGATACTGAATAAATCTGTGACTTTTTCTCCTACACAGCCCTTCAGTTTATCTTTAAAATTTGTTTAAAAATCTCACTACATTTTCATATCACATTTTATTGATGGATACATTATGAATCATAATTTATGCTTATTCTAAATCATTTAATACTAACCACTGAACTAAATATATGAAATGCGCATTATATATTTTCTTGGAAATGTTTTTCAAAGCCACTTTCCTCATTTTCTCGTCTTTCCCTCAAAGTTAAAATATTATGTTATATATTAAATTGGATTATTTTAAAAAACCATAAAATTAAACATTATTCGTCGAATAGCCTTATTCCGACATTGAACAAATTGTACATTTTATGATTTATTTTATAGGAACGGTGAAGAATGAGATTACAATGAAATTTCACTTAATAAATACATGCAAGGGTGCACCACTGTAAATTATAAACGAATTAAGTCGTTAAGTGATAAAAAATGTACCAATATTAACTGCAGAAATAAGAACTATTCTTACAGGTAATTATTTACGTATATTGCTTAATTTTAGGAAAAATTATTTTTTCATTATTCAGATAAGTACTTATAAATATTTCCAATTCAATTGTTTTTGTTTTTGAACTAATGTAAATCATAAATAATACTTTCTAAACGTATCTTAATTTCATTTTTTCTTAATTTTAGTATCTACTTAGAAAAAGTAAATGGGAAATATTTGATCCTTTTTTAAATTCTTAAACACATTACTTTTCTCTTCTCATAGGCTCTTTGTTCATTTCCCCCCCCCCCTTTAATATTTTAATATTTAGAAAAAAGTTATTATGAATGAAACATGTTTTAATCTCATATAAACTTTAAAAATTACTTTTCTAAACAGACCATTGTCGATATTTTTCCAAAATTTAACTACTTATAAATATATAATTTTATAATTTTTATGAACTTATATTATTATATTAATCATATTACTTTTATACACGAATATTTTGTTTGGATATCCATTATTTAATCATCTACGTCTAAAGGCATATCATCCATGTGTGATAGTACATCATTACCACCAGAATTATCTATGTATCTTTCTGATCAATATTTCAGCTTTTTTTAACTACGAACATCTCAGATTTTGCATATACTATGTTAGTATCAAAATATACATTTTCTCAATACTCTTAATCCGTACCTTAATTGTCATTTTTCTACTCCAATTTTACCATCTTTTTAAAAATTGTATAGTATAATATTGTATTAAATAGTATTCGGTTATCATTTATTGTTTCACAAAGAATATTCTAGAATATAAACTAAACAGGAAAAAATTCGAATATAGCGGAGCTCTGCGGCTGTAGTTTTTTAGTTATGCGTAAAAACGGTGAACCAGAATTTCGTTGTCTATTTCGTGTATCCATGACAACCTGTGTGCATAATATGTATACAAAGCAAAAAAGAAACACATGTTTCCGCACGGAATTACAGTGTTCAGCATTTTCTCACATACCAAAACCGAAAAAAAAAAACATCAAATGAGTGGTTTTTGTTATAGTCAACCGTTAATAAATTAATAAATTACCTAAAATTTTGAATTACATTAATTGTGTTTGTATATAATATTGTCTTCCTACCGCTCGTTTAAATAGGTATCTTTGCGGTATACAATTATGGCGATGTTATTTTCGAGGTAAGTGTTGTATTACGAATAGTTATGTAAACAATGTTAACATACGTACAAAAAAAAAATAAAAATAAAAACGATTTAATGAATTTTAAATGTACAGTAATGGACTTGTGACCTTTGTACACGTCATTACACCACGTCCGATAAAGCATATGTATGGACAATATCCGTTAAACATTTATATTTTTTTTTTTTTAGTAAAATTTAATTCATCAAAGAAAATCCACCGCATAATCACATTATTTGTATTTTTAAGACATAATTACTTGACATTTAATTACCATGCGTAATTAAATGTTGTTGCGTAATTTACGCTTTCGAACAGAAAACTTGCTCCAATCAATAAATGATAAGAAACTCTTATTGTTGTATTTCGGATTTAGTAAGTGAATTAAAGAGGCATTTTTTTTAAAAATTTTCTAAGGGGTCTTAAAACCCAGAATTGCGAATAACCGGAAATAAAATACTTAATAGAAAAAACGGCAATTATTTATAATAGCGTTACCGATTTTAATAATTTAAATTTTTACGTTTTGCTTTTTCTACCAGAAATATTGTTCCAATAAAAAAAAAAGCCATTTTTTTTTTTTGTTGCAATTTTAATCTAGTATATGAGTAAATAAATTATTTTTTAATTTTTCGCGTAGGTATTTTCAATGATTGAGAAAACCCGGAAAAAGACCGTAGTAATTTTTTTTTTATAATTGTTTTAATATCAAATTTTGATGAAAATCATAAATATTACGGTCTTTTAAATGATGTTTGACCGAACTTCACTTAGTATCGTTTTTCGTTAGCAGTGGACAGTAGTAATATAATATAATGGACGTATAATATTGTTTTTAATCATCAAATATAATGTAAGGTGAAAAAAAAATCACATAATAAATCGAAAAAAAAAATGAAATTTCGTTGATTAATCAACGCTGGTTGTTTATCTTAATATTTACTAAATCACGATTGTAAAAATTCGTACTACAAAAATCATTCTGGGTTTGACCAAACTATTTTTTTTTTGCCTTACCGGTATTATATGGTAATATATATTATAGAATATAATAAAATAAAAAGCTTGACATAAAAATAGCTTAAATATCAAAAATATGCTATATAAGTACCAACGTCAAAATATGCAAAAATATATCGCATTTTACAATTTTTAGTGCAAAATTTAATTTTCGCATTTATAACGTAATTTTTTCGATTTGATTACAATATTGTATACTGTGAATTGTGTTTTGATAAAATCGATTATATCATTTAGATCAAGCGATAGAATTTTTTTTTTAATGTATCTAATAGAAAAAAAAATGTATTCTACTATATTAATTATCGATAGGAACGCTGAAACTATACTTGAATTAGCATTTTCGTCGAAGAATTTATTTTCCGATTTGATACCGGTGGAAAGAACTCTGTTAGTAATCGGGAACAAAAATGCGGTGAGTATAATATTTTATTCGTAATAATACAGAATTATCGATTTTACAGACTCGATAGATTATGGAATCAACAGTTTACATAACGGTTTTTATGCAACCGAGTATATGAGTTAATATATTATTAAAAATAATGAGAATGGAGTGATGAGATGGAAAAGTAGAGTGACGCGAGAATATAAGATAAGAAATAAGTAAATAAGAGGTAACACAGGCGTGGTTTCGATAGAAGAAAAATTACAGGAAATAAACTTAGGAAGAAAGAGAGGAATAGGAAGACAGAAAAATAGGTTGTTGGATACAATTGATTATCTATGTTATGAGGACATTCAAATACAGCCAGTGGATGCGTAGTGGGAGATTAAGTCAAATGGAAGTTTAGGCTGAAAGTAGCTGACCCAAAATATTTCGGATAACGGCAGAGAAGAAGAAAAAAAACGAATTAAACTAAAAACTAAGACAAAATACTATTAGAAAAAAACCATCGGGTTACTAGGCTCGTTTAAAATAATGGCAATTATTTTATTAATATTTTAGGGTAAAACAACTTTAATACACAAGTTTTTCGATAAAAGTGAACAGCCGAAACCTACTTTAGCATTGGAATATTCGTTTGCAAGAAGATCAGGAAAAAGTCTGGTAGGTAAATAAACACAAATATATTAATCGTTTGTCATTATATTATATTATATTATGAGTTATATTTTAAAATCAATAATATAAAAATAGCGCACAGAAAAGCGCACTTGAAAAATAATATGTGTAATGTGCGTATAATTGATTTATTGATTATAAACATAATATGATCATGTCTTTTAAAAAATTTGTTGAGTTGTTTCAAAAGAAAAAAACAAACTAAAATACGTAAACTGCGTTATTACAATAATAAATTAATAAATATCAATAATTTGATTACAGCAAAACGTATTATTTTATGCGGGTGCAAGTTAAATATAAAAACAAAATGTACAATATCACAATGTATTTTTGGGTTGTTTTTTTAATATTCAATAAAATATACTCTTATTATTACCTACTAAAATTAAGTACACCTTTTATTACTGTGCTTGCAAAATGTAATAGAAAATGTAGTCGTAAACTGCAGATATCTGATGTCTCAAAACAGTATGTATGGCTGTATTTAAGAAGTTGTCACCCCTGGCATATAATTTTGTCATCCCCTAGTTGTAAAAATAACATTTATTTCATCCATGTTCAAGATTCTTTAATATTTCTACACATTTAATGTTCATAATATCAATAATAATTGATCAATGGTAATATGCATTTCAACATCGAACAATCAATAAAGAGGAGTGACCGAGCGGGTAAGGAGTTAGTGAGTTAAGCACTCACTGTTACTGGAGAGACAGCCTGTCACGAATAGCGAATTTATCTAGAAATCATCTTATACAGGCAGCATTGGCCGTTGAGCTTTACAAAGCCTCTTAAACTACATGATTATGACGAACAAATTAATTAGTGATAACCATTTAATAATTTAAAAAAATGTTAAGCCTTTATTACATAATGAAATACAATATTGAATAATGATATGTCACTTTATCTAATTAGCTAATTTATTTTAAGCAATTTGCTTAAAATGGATTTTTCATTTGTCAATTCCGTCTTGTTTCTATATTTTATGTTTACGTTCAACGAAGTTGGTTTTTTAAAAAAATAATATTTATCAAATCAAGAACCGACAACAATATATGGTGTGACGTGAAATGTATTGCCTATGTTTTTTTTTGAAAATTTTGCCACGCCTAGAAAAGTTAAATTTAAGTTTTTTTTTGTCAAATTTAAAGCCTCTTCAAATATTTTTAACTGAATCATAACTTAAAAAAATCAAAATTAAAAATAATAAATTTGGTACATTTTCTAGTTGTTTTTGTTTTTCCCCGATTTTCACAGTTATTATGAAAAGGTATATTTGTTAATCGAAGCAAGATTTCTAGAAGAAATGTTTTTTACAGATGGAAAAAAAAATTAAAAAATAAACATCATTGTAATACCAAACTAAAACTAATAAGGAAATATCTTAGAATTAAAAATTATATTTATTGATATTAACCATGTATACAAATTAATATTATTGCCATCTAAAAATGATTATAGTATTTTACAACTGATACAGCGTAATACTATTAATACTAATAATTAGAGTTTTGATTAGGCATTTTCAATCGGCTTAACTTTATTGAGCAACGTCTGCTATACCTACATTTGTTTCTTTACTTTTTCACTTTAGCAATTTTTAAAAATGTCTTTTTGATTTTACTTTAAATAATTTTAATTTAACTTCGTGACTTTATTTTAGAACGTTTTTTTCTGAGGTTAAGTTAGGTTTTGCAGAAAAAGTAACAAGTTTTTGTTGCTATACACAAATTTGAAGTAACCGGGTATTATTATTATTTCTTTTGAAATAGACAAAGGACGTGTGCCACGTCTGGGAATTAGGTGGCGGTTTAGTTTTCAAAGACCTGCTTTCGGTGATCATAGAAAAAACTAGAAGTCGACGACTGAGCGTTGTATTGGTGTTAGATCTATCGAAACCGGACGTCCTGTGGAACACGATGGAAATACTTTTGGAAGAATTAAAAACGCGTTTAGGAAACGTATTTGACGGACACGACCAACAGATCGACGTCAAACATATTGAAGTTTGTTTTTCTTGACATTATTTAGTATTTTTAATTTTGTGTTTGCACTCGATGGTTAAAAAATGAAAAACAAATCTTTTTGGAAATCAACTTAGCAAAAAAGTGAATCTGATATTTCACTACTCGATTGTTGGTTTCCAAATAATAATCTATAGACAAATTTTGATAAATTCAAATGTATTGCTTTTACTAATGACTTAAGAACTGTGCCGAATAAAACGAATTTAATCATATATAAGAATAATTCTAACGCTGCTTCATGCTTATGTCCAAGATTATCTATACTCTCATTCGTTAAGTACCTAGGAGTATGTATTGACCTAAATCAAAAATAGAATATTCACATGGAAAATCTAATAATAAAACTGAGACAACTAACGCACTTTTTTCTTATCGTTAAAAGAACATTAAACAAAAACTACCTTAGAGTAACATACTTTGCAATGGTCCGATTTCTAATACAATACGGAATGATTGCTTGGAGAGGCTATAACTCTACCTTCAAATATAATTTATCAGTAGCACGAAAAAACATAATGAAAATTATCTTAAATAAACAGAAATCTTTTCCGTCAAACGCATTATTCAAACTATTACGAGTACTAAATATTGAAAATCTTTATAAAAACGAGCAATATATCATAATTATAAATCTAAGCCATTGAAATATAAAACCAACCCTTACAATTTCTGGATAAAACATTTTGACATTCCTTTTATCAACACCCAAAAAGCTTCTTTATACATACTACAGATTATCCTAGATGAAATAAGAAAGTGCTCTAATTTTCTACATTTTAAATATAAACTAAAAAAATTGTTCTATGATAATTTGTAAAAATATGTTTTATTTTAAAAATTCTATTTATTGGTTATTATATTATTATTCTTCATATTGTATACCCTCTATACTCCAAAACAGTTTATTATTATTATTATTTTTTCTTTATTTTATTGTTATCATATTCCCTAGTTAATTGTGTTTTTTTTTTTTGTAGCTTTTTATAATTAAGATCTTGATAAGTATTCTTGTTCTACGAAAAGAGGTTTTACCTCAGTGTCGAGCAAAGCTAGCAATTTCATTATTAATCTATTCTACTTTTTAATATTTCTATTACTAGTAAATAAAGATGATTGTTATTATTATTACTAAAAAAAAAAAATCTATCTATATTATAGAACAGAATAGATAACAGTGATATTTTATGTTTCAGGATAGAAAGTTAATGTCTCCTTTGCCCGTGCCATTGGTGATCGTGGGAAGTAAATACGACGTGTACCAAGTCAGTCCGCCAAATTTAATTAGTATTTCTATCATAAAATCCATAGTTTTTAATAACATTTCATAAAACTAACGGACTAAGTTGTATTCAAATAAAATAATATTATGTTCGTTTGTTTTAATGATTTGTATCTAATATAAATTTAAAATATTGGAAAGAAAGCGTTGAACTAACTTTCCGTAATGATAGACCGGTTATCTGACTCGCGATTGAACGGCGCGCAATGTAGTCTGTACAAAAAGAAACAAAAATTACCCAATGATAATATAGGTAGGTATATAATTAATTGGTTTTTTTTTTTAAATAGGGGCGTTGTAAAGTAACAACGGAAAGTTCACTTGACACTGCATGAGTGTGTTTGAATTGAATACACCGAAACATAGAGGACACGCTATATTGTCCGATACGTCCTTATCTACTCATATATTATCGATATTTATAACAATAGTGCGTAAAACAATTTTTTTCTTTTGAACACTCGTGCAATTCGATACTATTCATATAATTATTAGTAGGTACATAATAGGAAAAGTATGGCTTATCAATCTCGGTATCATAACGCGTCAAGTTTCTATAAAAGTCAGTTAAAAAAAAAAAAAACCGACGTTTAAAACTGAGTGAAAAACTCGATCACATACTATTTATGCTGATATTTATTGCTATCGTTATTATTAGGTAGGTGCGCTTTTACCTATACCTAATAATATTATTTTAATCTTATAATTTTCTCTAGGATATTTATGCACTAAAATACTAATAAATACCTGTGTATGCACTTATGCACTAAAAAATAGCTAGGTATATATAGAAAATAGATAAAATATGAATTAAAATTAAAATAGTGAAAATAATGAAGTTTAGACATAAAATATAAAATATCAAATTAATATGGAAATTAATTAATTTATAAATATTAGATATTATTGAATAATTATCGTTAAATACATATTATGCTTAACAATAGATAAAAAGCCAAAATAAATACTTATATATGAAAACCGGAAAATATGCAAATATATAGAAAACAAGTTAATGTTTATAACACTAACATCATGAAACGAATTTATGTTCAAAAATCCATTCAATAGGACAATTTAAAATAAAAACATGCAAAATTATAAATATCCCAACCTTAATTATTTTAATATATTATTGTATACGTGAAAATTGACGTTATTTTATCAGTAGTTTGACGTGTTTTTTTGTTGGATTCTGAGTGAAGCCATAAATGTAAATGGTTTAACTATATCAGGGGTTCCCAACCTCTTTGTTATGACGGTCCACATATTTACTCTTTTTTGGATATGCGACCCACATTACAAAAAACTGCCCTAGAATGATGGGGGTACAGCTACTGTTGTAGGTGGGAAGTTGGGAAGGTAGGATACAGAAGGGAATTTAATGTATATCTATACGCATCGATTAACCATTGCTAACGAAAAATCGATTCTGAGCGGAGTTCAATTGATCTTGATGATTAAATTATAGTGATTAAATAGGTATTATATATTTTTTTAAATAATATTTATTTGATATTGTACCAATTTTCCCGGTCTATCACATTTGCTTGGAAAACTATTGGAAAAATCGAAAAATGACCTCCTTAAAGTATCTTCCCAATTGAATTTCCTTTTTAAAAAATTGCTGTTATTGTATATTGTTGGTAAAAAAGTTGTTCACAGGAAAAAAGAAGGCCATAATATTTTTTAACTAATACTTATATTTCGTACATTTTCCGATTTTCCTCCGTTTTTTTTTTTGGTTTTTCACATTTATTTTGCTTATTTTATCATTATTATAACTAATATATTTTTTATTTTTTATATTTTATAATATTTTCATAGTTTGAGAAATACTGTTCTTTATGATGTGTTTTTTTTTCTATTTGTAAAGAACTTTATTATTATATATCTTGCTTGTATTAAAAAATAGCTAAGGACTTTATTTTTTGCATTTTAAATATCGTCGGTGCACAAAACAATTCATTATTTTAAACTTTTACGATTTACGTTTTCTACCAGTAAACTACTTTACTTGACGACCGATTCGATCGGCTAGTTGTATATTATTTTCTTATACGGTTGACCATGTCGGTTGAAAAATGTAAATACATTATCGTTAAACTGTAAGCGTCATAATTGTAAATCTATGCACCTATAACCGTGTTATTATAGTATTCGTATGGCATAATATTAACATAATATTTTATTTAAATTACGACAATATCAATAATTTAATATACCTACCTACACGATTAGTACGATTATGATAGCATTATATTAACCTCGTTTCTAGAATTTCGAACCGGCGAAAAAACGAGTATTGTGCCAATGTTTGCGATACGTAGCGCAAACTTTCGGGGCTTCGTTGTTTTTTTACGCCATGAACGACGCGGCGCTCGTGAAAAGATCTAAAGAGATAATGTCACATTACGGGTTTGGAACACCATTTCCGTAAGTCCGTTTCCGTAAAATTCGTCCTTAAAACCGCGCCTATTTATTAGATTATTATTATTATTATTTTTTTTTTTGTTATTTGCACAGAAAGACTTACGTACACGATTCGAGTAAACCGCTTCTGGTGCCGGTTGGATTCGATTGTTTCGACAAAATAGACGATACCAATGAAATTGGTTGCATCAGATCCATGCATAAATACAAAAATGCGTTCGCATCAAATTTCAAACAGGTCTATAAATTATTAATATAATATTATTATAGTATACGTTGATATAGTTTAAGAAAATTCATTATTATTGTTATTTTTTTTTTACTTCATCGTTATTGTGAAAAAAGTTCGTTTGAGCGAATAATAACGGAAAATAATCGTAAATAGGCGCAACTAATTTATTAGCGATCCTTGCGATATTTTTCTCGTCTGAAAACTGTTGTACTGAAAGGTGCATAATCCAAATACGCATAGGTACGCAGTTTATTTTTTCATTTAAATTATCGTTATATTTGAATAATCGAATTTATGTATTACGTATGTAATTTACAAGTTTTTTACGTACAGTAATAAAATTGTATATACACATTTTTTTTTGAAGTGTTTATTATATTGACATCTGCTGTTGCAGCATTTCTTCGAATCGTTAACCTCAATTATAACCGAATGAAAACATGTACAATACAGGACTTCCTTAAGAAATGTACAGTGGGAATTCACGTTTGAGTATAATTTAAGAGGGAAAAAGTAGATGTATTCCAATGGTTGTTGGCGTTATCTATGCTAGAATGCCTTAAATTTAAGAATTTAAAAAAAAAAATCATTCAAATCGACCAGATAGAACTGCTGGACGAACTTTTAATAGAATTCATAAATTTATTTAATTTATAGATATATGAAAAAAAAAATATTCTAACTTTCCAAGTACAATATAATAATTTAGTTTATACATTTATAGTTTCATTTTGATTTACTAAAATACATTAATTAATATTAATATTATCATAATACATAATTATAACAGAAATACCGATATAATTTATAATAAATAATACATAAACCGAATAATAATATCACAAAAAATATACACACTTATGACCATCAATTATTATAATAATTAATTGTGATTTCTTATAGGTAGCCGTAGAATCCGGTCAACAAAGTACATTGAACGATGTAGATCCGTTAAACGATCCGAATTACGCCGATCCGCTGATCGACGAATGTCTGAAGAAAAAACAAGAGGTGCGAACAAATGTGTTATTTTTTATACAACGTATCGATAATATTAGATGTATTTTAATATTGTTCTTATCATCAACATAACAATGTTTCAGGAGTTCAAACTTTTCGTGGACAATTACGAAAAATTTCTGAATTCGGAAAAGAGCAATAAGAATATAAATAATTCATAAGAAAAAAAAATCGACAAAAAATAATACATAAACAATTTTACAGGCACTATACTCATATATAATTAATATACTGCATAAATAAATTTAAATTATTAACTTAGATTGTTATGACAAAACAATTTTATGACTTTACGACGTTCGATCGTATTCCTACGTCAGATGTTCGAAAATGTTTTGTTCTAACCGTGAGTCCGTAACAGACGACGTTTTATTTTACAACTGTTTTAATAATTTAAGTTAGGTCATTTTTAGGACTAATTTAAGTGAAAATTTACGTCATAGGACCTAAACTGTAATATTGATTGTCACTTTCGCTCGTCATCGTCCGACGATATTATCGGTGATGACGTATAAAATAGAAAATACAAAAATGCTACAACAGTATTATCATTGTAGAATTGGTATCACTCGGAACGAGGTGGTGACCGCAGGCTGTTACCAGCGCAGGAACTTCTTGAAGTAAAGCGGTATTTTTCTGAGTGGTTTATTCATCATCCGCAGTCTGATGACGTAGTATGCGCTCACTCGGAACAGCAATCCGAACACGGCCAGTCCGACAAACTGGTAGCCGATGGACTGGCCACTCATACCCAGATCTCGGAGCAACAGTTCCGGGCTTCTGTAGTGACAGTATAGGTCCTCTGTGCTGCAATCCATGTTCGCTCGACCGTTGCCATACAATGAGGTAGATATTCCGACCAGGGAGTATCGCAAAAAGCTGATAGCCATCAGTGACTCCATGAGAGGTTCGATAGCTAGTCCGTAGCCCATGCCGTAAACGGCCAGCGCGAGCAAGGGTGCCAGGACCGCCGGAGTCAGCACGGCTCCGGTCTGAAAATCCAATTTGGTTCATAAATAAAATGTAAAATATACCCTTTACCGAATAAATTGTAGTGCTAAACAAATTGCAATGTATACTTGTTCCACTATTATTAACTAACGATTGTGTTGAATAATGAATATTGTAGATATCATATTAAGATAAATACGTTTTACATGTAATACATGTTTTATGTAATGTATTATATGTAAAGCTGTGCATGCGTGAGAGAGAAGGACAAGTTGCAGTTTTTAAATGATAGAAAAACATTAATACGTTTTCCCCCCATAAATAAAATTATGTAAAAATAATACTGAAAATCAGACGACTGAGTCAATTTATCATGACAAATACGAATTATCACATTCATAAGACGTGATATATTACTGTTTTACTGATTCAAGGGGTACTTATCTTAATATGGCTACTACATTACTATGTTCATATATTATAGTCTTTGATAAAACTACAAGTGCGCTGTTCGTATAACTATTTTATAATTTGATAATCATTCTTAGTCTATGTATCTCAAGTCTACAGTCAGGAGTAGAGAGCCTATATAATAAGAGAGTGACCAATTCGCTAATGCCGTCTGATTGACCGTAATATGCATTAATTGTATTATATAGGCTTTCTAGTTAGGAGTGAATAGGCTCCCAGGGGAAAAGGGATTTTACCCGTAGGCTCCCGTCTATGTTTATGCTATATTGGTTAACTTCTGCCTTATTCAGCAATAAATTATACATTCAATGAACTTTTATGAAATTTTAAATTATTCTTCCATAAACTGAATTAATATATCATTGATAAGGGAAAAATAGTTAATAGGTAATTTATTTTCAAAATAACATAGAATCATGGGGCAACGAACATGACAACAAAAAAATAATTTACGGAAGAAAAGTCAATATATCGCTGAGTAGGATAGACATGCTTTTGATATTAATATCTCTCTTTTTTATTCAGGAACGCTATGCAGCAACTCGTATACATATGACCTATCCATTATATATTTTATATGGATTTACCCCATCTGTAAAAGTTGACTTCGGTGTCACTGGATTTACATACAATTTATACTTTATATCCGAGTTTATAACTAGGTATAAATTATACTATAGTAACTTAGTATTTATAGTGAATAATAAACGTAAATATAAATCTGGCTTAACAAAACGTAAAAAAAAGAGAACTATTGTTGCAATGTACAAATAATAAAAAACAAAGGAAATTCATTTTTTCAAAAGGTGAGCTCAATTTTTAAATGATAAACACCTATGTTAATGGTACCCCCTTAATTCCCTTTACACAACTTTCATAATAAGCAACTACACATTTCATTTAAGTATTTTATAAGCTTATCAACAACTATCTTCTTATTTTCTTCAATTACCTATTTTACAACTGAAAAGCGAAATTATATTCTTATGTATAAATTATTTCTCAATGTTTATTAGGTTATTTTGAACATTAAGTATATCATGTACTATTAAAATATTATAATTATTTTCAAAATCGTAAACATTAAAGAACTTAAACTTAATGCATTGAATTCTCTAGTGTCAAGGAAGCAGCAGATAATTATTTATAAAATAGCTTTTAAAAGTAAATTGGTGGGCCCTTAAAAATGTTTATCTGTAACAAAAATATTACCTATCCAGCATCCACCCTTGTCTATAGTTTTAAATGTAACTACAAAGAGATTTTATTCTGTTTATACTTTTAGTTGGGGAGTTAATATACCTATTCAGTATCCACTATCGGTGTCCTAGGTTGGATACGAATTGCGTATGTACGGATAAGTGGTTTGGATGAAAATCGATTTGATTTATCTTGTCGGCTTTTTTTAAATTAAAAAGTATGATTATATTATGTATCGATCCTATGGACGTTAAAATATTTATCATAGTTATGTTCGAAAATCGTACGATATTATATATTTCGACACGTTTATCATAATATTATTTAAGGTTATTTTTTTTTTCTATCGATATGGTTCTTACGGAATTTTTTACGGAAGATCCGATCAGAACACCCAATCCTTCGGATATGTAACCGGTAAACAGTCCTATGGCCATGAACTGACCGAACCGTATCCATTCTATCGGTTGTGCCGACATGAAATACACGATTACGAGGAATAAAGATCCGAACAGGAGCTGAAAACAAAAAATAAATCGACAAAATTAGATGAGTGTGCACGTAGTTTTATTTGAAATAAAAAAAATGTATGTACTCACCATACTTGGTATGGTGTGAATGGCGGACGCTAAAACGTACGACCTGAGACTGTACCAATGATTGAAATATTCTCGACGTAACAATTTCACTTCCGACGGCACTATAATAATATATTATTTATTAAAACAGATTGAAAACGTTTAAATATACACATCGTATAATATTAAATGCGTGTTAATTAATATTCAATCGACTTACGTGTAAGTACTGGTCCCATAACGTGAGTGTACACGAAAAAAACGATGACGCTGATGCAAAATTTAAAATTTTCAAAAGGTCGGCTCCCGTCCAAGCCAATGCCGTAGTATATGCTGCCGAGAAGAAACGCGGAGAAAACGTGATGGAAAAACGATATCCACAGACCTATCTATAAACGAAGAGTGATTAATTTATTAACAATAACAACAACTAATATTAGTATAAAATGAAATTTTTTGGGATTTTTATTCATGCACAAATAATAAAATTAATACAAGTGGATACTGGTCACGGGTTGGCTTACTGTACTGTTGTAAACAAGGCTTAAATGTATACAAAATCTATCGTTTTTGTGTATTTAAATGTATTTTACATAATTTTAATGTTTAACGTTATTTTAATTTTCCGTTTTTTGTTAAAGCGATATAAATAAATTTGGAATAGCGCATTTTTTTTTAATAAATTCTATTGTTATTTCTATAATTATTTCTAATTGTTAATACCTATAAAGTATAAGGTTTTACGTAAAAATAAAAAAGTAAAAACATTATTTCGAATAAAATTATTTGCAATTATTTTTTCAAATAAGTCGCAGTTATATTTATTGTTAATTATTAGTCGTGATTAATGATATATTATGTTTATTGGTATATGATTTTTTCCGTTTTTATTTTAATTTTCGTTTATTGATTTCGTCAATTTTTTTCGTTATAACGTTTTAAAGAACTGGGTGATTATAGGAAAGTAATACAATTTACAGAGTAATTTTACAAAGAAATGTTTATATTGTATCATGCAAATCATTACACTATATATTACACTATACAAATCATTACAAAAAACGATTCTGAGAGGAGTAGTATTGTATTCGTGATTTTTCTTTTGTTGTTAAAATGACCCAAAAATCAACAAAATTAAACAAAAACATAAAAAGGATCTAATAGGTGAACTGCTGAAAACGTCGATATTTAAATAAATTGAAATTTTTCATCTTTTGAGTTAGTGCGTGAAAACATTGGAGCATTTGTCTAACTAAAAATTTTCGAAAAAAGTTCAAATAAAGTATTGACAAATAATAAATACGTATTTATTCAGGTACAGGGGATCCTGAACAAATTGGAGCATTTATGCTAACCGTAAAAGTCCTTTTCGATCGAAAAGTCGATCATTAACTTAAATTTTGATATATTTTTTTAAATATATAAATTAACATATACTCACAGTATTTCTAAATGTTTGTTTCATTTTTCTTGACAACAATATGGAAAACTGTGTGTTGAATGACGAAGAATATTCCGAATGAGTTTTATCTAATTTTGATAGTTTCTCGAATTCTAGTGCTTCATTTCGACCTGTAAACGATAAAAAAAAATACATTGAATAAAATAATTAATAATCTTTTTCAAGGAGATTGTAATTTACTGAGTCTTTTGGTATTCGGCTTGTCGTTTTCCATGACGTTTATGTCGTCGCACAATATTATTTTTCCGTTTTGAATCTCTCTGGTCAATTCGAGAATTGTATCAACACCGTTGTCCAACACTTCGAAAACTGTAAACAAATAAATAATATTTATAGTAATTCTATACTATTATATAGTAGTTGTGCTCTGTGTTTCACGTTATAGTTTGTAATTTTATTTGTAAAGTTCTTTTTTTTTTTATGATTATCATAGGAATTGTATAACTGTATAGAATTGTATTGCTTTTTATTGCTAGGGCCGCAGGTTCGTGAACTTTGATAATATTTCCGCAATGTGTAATATACAACTTTTAAAAGTATTTTCTAGTTAAACTTTCGTCAAATGGTCGTCGTGTTGTTGTTTGGAGAAAAAAAGTGATGACAAGTTTTAAACGAAAACTCTCACGTCACACGAAAAAAAGAAATAAAAAAGCTTTATTCCTTAGAAATTAAATTACACAAAGCAATAGCTCTTTGAAAAAAACAAAAAATAAACTAATAAAAACGCTAATGCTTCTGGTAAGTGTACCACTGTTGTAATTTGTAGGGAGGAAGTTGGATGAGAGAATATATAGTGTAATTCAATTTATGTTTGTACGAAACGATAAACAATTGCTGACGAAAAATGATTCTCAGTCGATTATTAGTCGTATAATTTTTCCTGTTACCAAGGTAACCCAGAAAAAAATAATGATATAAAAATTGCCAGTATTCACCATTTATTAAAAACAACTACAAGGAAAATCAAATAATAACTTCTTTCATGTTCCAAATAAATAAAATATGATACATAAAAGTACTTATAAAGTTTTTGATCAAAACCTGAATTCTGTTAAAAAAGATTGTAAAACTAATAAAAATATTTATCTAAATAATTATGTTAGCAATGATCTCTTATATTATGTCTTTGCCTAGATCTTTATCTTTATTTTATAGTTTATTTTTATATAACGTAAGACGCTTATTTTTTTTACGAAACTCTACTTGATTTTGCAGTAAATATTTAACAATATTATAGTAGGTATACTCAAAATACTAAATAGTATTTTAATACTATTTATTTACTAATATTTAATTACTAAATAGTAGGGCTTATAGTAATGGTGCTGATCACGAACCTTAGCAATTTCAACGGTCTAGTAGATTTAGCGCGTGTCCATTTAATTATAAATTACTTATTTGGTTTTTTGAAATTAATCACATTCCCTTTTAGTTGTAACGTTAACTCGAAGTAATGCATAATACACCGCGGTCGGCAAACTGGAATTATTTATAAAATACTTTCTACGCGCAATACGCTTCGTCTCACGTCGTAATATTTGTGTACGGAAATACTTCAGGAAAAAATTAAAACGTTTTTCAATTACTATTATGAAACATCTATCCCGTATACTTATCATTTTTCATCGTTATAAACATTTTTCATGCCATCTGGGCCTTTTGTGAACTTCGCTTAGCCCGTGGTATAACTACTCATTATTGATAATTAATCACAAATTTCCTCTAGCAAAAAAAAAAAAACAAAGTAATTACAAATGTTTTTTTTTTTTTTTAAGACATTAAAATAATTAAATTTGATTTCAACGGATTTGGAAGGAAATAGTTTGCCGATAGTTATTTATATAATAATGCATTAGTATCTGGTTTTGGACAAGTGAATTGAGGGAAAGTCAAGTGATAAAATTTTTTTATATAGCTGATTGAGTAAGAAAATTTTTTTGATTTATTTATATTTAGTTTGAAATATCGTCCAAAAAGTTTGTCCCGAAGGTTAGGAATTGTTCGTGGAGAGAATGTTTTACGACGGCGATTTGACGTTTTATATGCGGAAATACACGCGCGTATTTAATCTCATCGAATTCTGGAGAATGTAATAATAATATAATAGGTATACGTTTCCTGTATAATCTGGTTTAGGGGTAACCAGTTTTTCTAACACACTATCTTTGAAATAAAAAATATAAATTAAGCATTTATAGTAAAAATTAAAAAGATATTAGAGTGCAATTTTCTTTTATATCACGTATTATGTTCATTGTAGGATTTTAAGACCAAACCACACATAAAATTACTAATAATAAAATAAAATAATACAAAAACAAAAGACTGACCAATCACATTATCCGTGTCTAACAAAATCGGTACCCAATGCTAGAAAAATTTTCCAGAAAAAAAGCTAAACCTGTCTATTGGGACTCTTATACGTTTATTGTGAAAAATTTCTATTACAGGGGTGCCTGTAGTCATAGCACCCCGTAAGTGGGCACCTCTCAGGCACTTCTCGATACGGCTCTGAACATAACACAACTAAATAGAACTGATACTGCTGATAAGTGTGTCACCGGGCTAAAAGTCTAGACGGTAAGATATATAAGGAAATGCAAATTATATTTGTACGCGACGTTAAATCATTGTTGACGATTAAATGATTTTGAACGAAATTCGATTAATCATGTAAACCTTTGACTCAAAATTATATTAATTTATAAATAACTAAAAAATAAATTACAATTATCCGTGTTTTTTTCGTTTCAAATTGTTGAGAATTCTGCAAGCTGGGCCAAATAAAATTATATTTACATACATTGAAAATAGTAAGGATGGATCAGTTTATTTGCTCGCACATATTCAGTATGAAAAACATCCGGAACTTACTATAATCTGCCGGGTTGTGAGTGGGTTTGCAGACGTGTCCGACCTGTGCCAAGAACGGCACCAATTGTCGCGGGGTACCATTGTAAATACACGAGCCCTTTGCCAGCATGTACACTTGATCGAACATGTGAAACAGAGACGAACTGGGCTGGTGTATGGTGCACACCACCGTCCTGCCTTGTTTGGCGAGATCGACCAATAGGGCGACGCACTGCTTAATCGCCACAATGTCCAATCCACTGTAATATAACACAATATCGTTACAGAGACTAAGAAAATAAATAAATATTTATTTGGGGATGATGTTACTTTTACAATACTCTCACATGTACACCTACACGACTTTTACTGTTATTTTAACCGAAAAAACAATTTTTATTTAACGTCTCACGTCAAATATTGGGTTAAATTTTAAAATTGACTTTACTTTAAGTTGCGTATAATTTGTGATTATACCTACAGGTTGAATGTAATTTAAGTTAAAATGAAAAGACAGGCAATCAAATACAATTTTTTGTTATTATTTAATTTTTAAAATTAATAATTTTCCCATGTTTACCTGGTAAAAACGAAAAATAAAAATGGCATACTGAATTTAAAAAGTTAATTAATATATTCAGAACTTAATAGAGCCGATACTGGGGACGGATGGGCCCACTGTTGTATGGGAGTAGTTACTAGTTAGGAAGGTGAGATCATAAAGTCGTTTAATTTATACCTGTAACTAACGATAAACTATTGCTAACGAAAAACGTTTCGGAGCGAAGTTCGGATGTTTTGAAAGTCCGTAATATTTACGATGTTCGTCAACATTTGATTTTAAAACTTTTATAAAAAAAAAAAAAAAATACTTCATTACACTCTTAACTTTTTTTTTTGGATCACAATAAGTTCAAATTATCATCAACCACTTTTTAAATTGTCAAGTTAAGTTTACGAATATTTTTAATTTGATTACATAAAAAAATAAAATTTGAAAGAATAAAAGAATTATTTTCATAAATGTTCCCGTACTTTTTACGTATTTTTCGGTTTTGCTCAATTTTTATAAATCTACAAAAAAACAAAAAAAAACCTTCTTGGTCACCATCTAGAAAAAAAATTCAATAAAAAAGGTCTCTTGTCATTTTTCTATTGGAGTAATATTTCTAGTAGAAAACATCGTGAACAAAAATTAAAAACAATGAAAACGATAAAACCACAGCGTGCTATAAATATTTGCTGTTTTACCTATTACCCATTTCTTTACAGATTTTCCCAATTGTTTTGAAAACTCTTGAAAAATAAAAAATATGATCTCCTCAATAAACCAACTAGAGAAAATTATCTTTCAGAATAAGTGCTACACTTGATACTATAGAGCAATACTTCTTGTAGAAAAGTTGAACCCAGACAGAAAAAAACCATCTTTCTACACTTTGAATATAAAAATGTTACTTTTTGTACATTTTGCTTAGTTTTTTCAATAGGTAATAGAAAAATTGGACTACCAAACCGATTTGTGGAGGATGTAGCATGGTAATATAACTAAACAAATTTATATCCCTCTCACTTCATAATAAACGTATAATAATTATGCCAGAAAGAATGGGGAAGATTTATCACTATTTAACCTCTCTATTACTATTGTTACTGCAGAACAAGAACGTTCCTATTAAGTAATCTGGTTTATTTTTCCTCATTTTCAACCTTGACAATCAAATTCGTCTCGTCGTCGTCGGTTATCTAACTACACGCTCGCGGCTTGTGTGTAATTATTATGTAAACGCAACGTCTAGAAAGTTCAAAAACGTGTTCCGGTTCACGCAGAGTATAGGTATAAAACGTTTACGTAAACTTTCTAAATCCTCTATACGCGTACCTATCTAATAATGCAGCTATATAATGTGATAAAAAAGCAATATAATATTATATACTTTACAGAAAAATTTAATATTTTCTCCGTTGATTATTGTGCTTTTTTGTTCGTTTTAAAATCATTTGGAAAGACATATCTCACGTTATACACAGAATTTAATATTTGAAAGGATTTGTTTTGGCACAATACCAATTTTTTCACAGAATGACGTACCGTAATGTTAAAAAGTTTAACGCTACGAGCGTTTCAGAGGAATTCTACATGCAAACACAGGAGTTTTACACCACCTCTCCTCTATATAAATTCACCGTAGACCATAAAATAAATTTGCTTATTCCTGATTGATGATCTTTTCTTTCATTAAATTTTTGTCTGTAAACAAGTTTTCTTGCTTTTTATACAAAAATTTGTTGTAGCTTTCTCGTGTAGCATCATTTGGTAAAGTGGCATTTTCATCAAGTGGATCAAAAAGTCCCCAATAGGATCAAATAATCTCCGGAAATACAGAAATATAAATTAGAAAACCGAAACCCATATCTTCCAAAAATTGCATAGACGATTGCCTCTCGAATAACCGTTTGACACTGAGAACACTGACAGCACATGTAGATATAACGTCTTCTCAAAACCATTTGATACTAGATTTTAAAATTGTTTTCTGCTAGATAAATCTTGTCTTTCCGTATGCACTGTATTTATCAATATGTTATAGCATATTATTTAAGAACAGAACTTTATCTATAGAATGCTAATTTTTTAATTATTGGTAGTACTCCCCAGTCATTTTTTTATAAGTGAATTAAAAACCAAAATTATCGAAAGTTTACGATAACTTAAATTGTGTTTATATTAAAACTAACATAGATATGCTACGACACAAGTGACATTTTAGTAGTTCTACTATAAATACGAAAAAACTAGAGATATTTTGTGCGAATTATTTGTCGTACAGATTTCGGTTTATATTATGATGATTACCCTAAAAATACTTCTGTTTATGATACTTGTACATTTATTCGATAGTGAATTTGAATATTTTTGAGTTTATGAATTTCTCCTTTTTACACAAAAATACGTGAAAATTACCTATGTATATACGGAACCCTTTAAATATACGGGTGGTATCACGTTCTTTTTAAGGCCCGTGAATTTTGTTTAAACGACACTTTTTAATAATCTTATATAATTATAAAATTGATATTCTGTCTACATATTCGTTAAAATTTACAGTTTTATTCCGATCTTAATGAAGTTTTACATACTTGTCATTTAAAACAAGAGAAAGACTGTCGTCTACTTTTTATTTCAAAATTGAATCCTTAAAGGATAGACGACACAGGGTTTTTGATATTTTCGAAAAAAAAAAATTGAATTTATTTTTTCTATTTGAATAAAACGGTGTAGATAAATAATAATTTGATTATAATATAGATATACTGACGTAGTGGGCTCGTCTAGGAATATCACTGGTGGATTGTTGACCAACTCGAGGGCGACGGATAAACGTTTGCGCTGACCTCCGGACAATTTCTCCACGTAAGTATTCCGGCACACTGACACCCCCAACAAATCAAGTACCTCGTCCACCTTGAAAAAAATAAACAGCTTTTATAAAACATAGTTAGGCAGACCAATTCATACATATAGATATATTATAATTTTTTACTACACGCAAACGTGATGATTTGTTAGCAAATGCGGCAAAACGACTAAAATACATTTTGTAATATAACCAAAAAAAATTAAAAATGATAATTTCCAAATTATCAACATAATAATATATCATCTCTAAAATATTTTTAAACCACATGGTCTGTCATCCGAAGTAAGTAGGTACCTATCGCGACGTGCAAACCTTTCGAGGTTGTTGTTCACTAGCTGCGCACCGTGCAATATCGTTTTGTTATTTTTTGTAGATATTTTCCGAAACGTTTTACATCATCGTTTGCATTGATCAAAGTGCTCCAGGGGAATCACTCGTTATAAAATATAGATAACAAGTTGTCCACGATAACGCGTTTTTTGGCATTGAAAGCGTTAAAGATTTTTTGTAAATGGGGATTTTTTTAATAATACTTATACTCTTGCGCGCTATAATTATTATCCATTGCAGTGTACCTATGTAAATATTATATAATCTTATTTTCGAATCTTATCTAAATTATTTTAAAGCATATTATTAAATATTTGTATCGAAAACCGTTTAAAATAAAGTAAAACAGGTTTAAAATTGCATAACAAAAGTTAAAATAAGCAACAAAAATATACGGATTTTTTTAAAAAACAAAAATTAATTAGTTACATTTAGCTACAATAAATTACACTAAAATCGATTAAAAAACATTAAAAAAGAATTAATCTGAAATAACGAAATGGAAACGTGTACTAATACATATTTTATTTTGAATAATATTACATAAATCATATTTAGGTATTCAACTCTAGCTGATAAAGATTGATTATTTGAACTAGTTGGGGAAAAAAAGCAGATGACTTCGAAACCCGTATTATATGTATTCCGTATTGTATTCAGGCCGCATTAGTATAATCAAATCGAAAGTAAAAATATACATGAATCAAACTTATTTGGGTCTAGTTGCACTCAGTTTGTCAAATCGAAAATGCAATTATTATATACCTAAAAAATAATTAATTTTTCAAGTTTTGTTCCACTGAAAACCGAACAAAATAATTTTAATGTTCTGTTGGATTCGTTTATTTTAAAGACTATGCAGGGTGATCAAGACACTAGCTCAATATACTTATTATCTTGAACAGTATTAATTTATTTCAGAAATTTTTTATAGAACATTTAAGAAATAAACAGCTTTACAATTTTACATTTATGTTATTTTTTGTCAACCCACATTTTGGTGTTGAAATTGTTGATTTCCGTTAATCCGTTGGCGAGATATTCCACTTTTAAGTTTTGGTCAGGGATGAGAAGTAGTGTATTATTAAAATGCCGCGCGCCGTGACATCATACAAATAATGGTCCACTACCTTCCCCGGACTTAAACTTAAAAGTGATACATCTCGTCAACGGATTGACGGAAATAAAAAAATGTCCTAATACTTCATTAATATATGCAATTTTTAATATAGGTTACAATTTGAAAATCAATAGTAAGTAATCAAAATAATAAATAATAATGGTGACGAAAAAATAAATAAACATGTACAATTTTAGAGGTGCTTGTTTTTTAAATGTTTTCAAAACAAATTCCGAAAAAGTTGATATTTTCCGAGATAATGAGTGTTTTACGCTGAATTGATCACCCTATACGTATATATATATGTTACAGTTGAAACCCGGAATCCGTCAAAACTAGTTTCCACAAATCCCTTTAGTCAATTCTAGTTTTGACTAGTCAAAACTAGAATTAACGATAAATAAGATAAAAAGATAAATAACGAAAAAGTCAGTCAAAACTAGTTTTTACTAAAATGCATGTATTTTAACCTGTACAACCTAAAACGCACCCAATCACAGGCGATCTATAAATATTGCTCCGTAAATTCGACTGAACGGCTATCAAATCAGTTAAGATAACTTTAACCAGTCGTCTATCAAATCACTTTTAGATACTATAACTTCGACCGATTATACCTAATAGATAATAATTCAGCCGCTGTAACTTTTGTCCCCGTGTCTTTAGTTTTGCCAGTTCGTTTGTTTTCGTTGTAGTTGTTGTACCTACGTTTCACACAACACCTGTTTTCTATTTTTTTTTATTCTTTTCGATCTTGTTGACGTTCGCAGGTGTTGAACATCGTCGTCATGTTATTGTATAATTTTGTTTCGTGTCGAACACTGAAAGAGAAATGAGTACTCGAGAGCGGTTTTTTAAGAAACTTACCTATTCGGTGGAAGGGATAAAAGACATTCATTATAATGTCATGACGAAAGATGCGTACGGTTCGCTTCTGAAGGAGGTCGACGATGCGATATCAGCTACTCAAAAAACTTCCACTCAATATAGAAGGGTAAAACGATTCAATGTTTTAGCACTTTGTGATTCAAAAAAGCTGGTAACCCGCGGAGAGCAATTATATTTCTCTCCGGGCAGCTGAAAAAAAAGCATCGACGAAGTTAGGGCAAGACTTTGTAAGATGCATATAAAAGAAATCTTGCGGAACAAATCGTTGTTTGTGTAAGAAAAATAGAATTTTTTGCAATTCAAAATGTCATGATAGTTTGTCCTGTAAAAATAAATATTATAATAAATACCTATAGTAAATATCCAAATATGTACTCATTTCTAATTTTTCCTAGTTAAAACTTGTTTAAACTATCAAAATAAAAATTACGGATTTTCACTTGATAATTCTAGTTTTCACCAATATATTTCAGACAATTAGTTCTAACTAAACAAAAATAAGTTAACTCTAGTTTTACCGGTGAAGGTCTTAGTTAATTCTAATTTTAATTAGAATTGACTAAAGAGATTTGTGGAAACTAGTTTCGTATAGTTAAAGTTAGTTTTGACGGATTTCGGGTTGTAACGTAACATATATATAAGTATCGCGTGTATCAAATTTAAGATTTTCGTTTTACGTCTGCAAACAACATTGTAAGTAATTATTTATTTATATTTTGAGATCGGAAGCGGGTTTTCACATTTTCTCTAATTTAAAATACTTTAAAAATTTCGATACGCATAACACTAATATTAATTAGTGTTATGCGTATCGTATATCAGGTAGAAGAAATATGGGTGGAAATTTGAAAATAGTGTTAACATAAAGCATAAACTCGATTCCATAAAATCATTGAAAAACAAAAAAAAAAAAAAACGTAAATCAAATATACTTATAGATCTTCCGAGAAAATCGCTAAAAATCGCTGGCTCAAGATAACATAAGAGATCTCTGTATGTATGAGTAATATAATAGATATTACTGTTATGAACATTTATGATTCATCGATATTATAATGATGACGAGTTATGTTGTGAACTCATATGTTATTTAACAACATGCAATATTATAATTTTTAATATGCATGTAGTTAAACAAATAGTTTAACACTGCCTCATTGCAAAAACTGGTAAGTATTAAAATTTCATTCTGACGGTACCTACCTATTTAATTGTATTACAATAAATACATTTTAAGCACTGCAGAAATATCAATCAGTGAGACATTAAAATTGCTCACCAAAAACGTAATAATTTTATTTTAACGCATATTATTATATTTTGTAAGCTTATAATTTTAAATATATATATATATATTTTTAACACGTAAAAACAGTGATTCAATAATCACGCAACGTTAAAAAAACTTTTCAATGAGCATTGTAGCAAATATGCAACATGTTAAATAATATGTTTCCACATTAGGTGCAGATTTCAAAAAATGTGTTTGAAATGCCCTAACCTATGTTTTTTATTTCGATACGCACATGTAAACGTAATCAATTTCCGTTTTGTAACGTATTTCAAACTTGGTAACGTAAGTCAATAGTTTTTCTCTTTTGTGGATTTTATTTTCTTAATTTATAAAATGTAATTTAAGTGAAAATACTATTTTAAAAATGCACTAAAATCATTGAAAAATGCTCTAAAAAAATGGCATATACATTTTTTAATTTAGTTTTTCATTGGGTAATTATTTTAGTTAAAAAAAAAAAAAGAGAAAATTGAAAAATTTGACTAGTGATTAACGACGATAGTTTTAACTTAGAGGCTGTACTTGACAGATTGACTTAGAAAATCCGAAAAACATTGGTAATATTTTGAATAAGCTAAATTTAAATTGTTTAGTTTTATCATAGATTAAATATACCAAGTACACTTAATCGGTGGTCGTATTGTGTACAAATACTATATTATATTATACTCGTGTATTGTACAAATATGTAAAAAAACTAAAAAATTATCAAAATATGGCAAAAAAAAAAAATGAAAATGAAAAAACTTTGAAAAATGTAATAAAGGCAAAATAAAAGTTTCATCTTTGATGTCTCTGTTCCCGAATAAAATCTACTAGGAAAGTATTGTCTATATCACTCAAAAAAAGATGCATCTCACATTGAAATCCGGGCCTTACTACCAAATGCATTTCACAGTATTATTTTTATAACAAACGTATACATTAGTAAATTACAGGCTTGTATTTTCACGCATCTATACGTATGATGTATTAACCGAAAATGGCCAAAATTAACTAGTGCCTTTTTTAAAAAAACCCATCAAACTTGTCCGAAATAGTTTTAAACGAAATTATTATTCCCTTTTCTATTCGCGAATAGATTAAAATTAAGTAGATTGTAAATTATGATATTCTAATTTCTACAGTTTTATGTAATACAAAATAAATATAGTTGTCGAACGATTATATAATATATGCCTGGGAAGAAATGGATCTGAATATTCATCGTGACGAATTTTTCTTTCAATTTTAATTTATAGAATACGAAAATAATAATTTTTTCTGTTATGTGTAGGCCAGCGTTTTTATTTTAGCTTTTTTCATTTGGGTCACCCCTATCCACGAAAACTCAACACTACGGCGACGTTTTATCAAAACATGCATAATGCATTGAAATGTTATGAAACTATAGATTTTAAAAGAAAAACACGGGTTACTTTAATTGTATTAAAAAATTAACGCGTGCAGAAGAATAATGAACACGCATTTATTTGAGTGGTAGAGTTAAATAAATATTGATATGATTTTGTTTGAAAAAATTACAAATTCTCATCATTTTTTTAATTTTAGGGGTGAAACTAGAATATTTACCCCTTGGGCGTCACCCCAGAGATAACCCTAGTATCTATTTATCTAAACTTATAGGTAATAACTTTCGAGATTGTGAACTAGATTAGGAAGAAAAAAAAATTGTACATTTACTAATGTACATTTTCGCAGTTTTCAGCGTTTATATATGAAAAATATTGTACTTTTTGTGTTGTTAGTGTTGGGGTAGAACACCGTTTTGCCTAAAATGGACTTTTGAGTTCACCGAGCCGAGTCATCCACATACGCGGTCGTAATAGTTAAACGAGGCACTCGTAACATGTGATCTGTCGCGTCGTCAAAAAATCTAAAAGTGAAAACGAATTATTCGCGGTCCCATCGTTTTAGAAATCGTCTCGTACACACTACGCGGGCGCCTTAGACGCGATCAGCTGTTTTCTCCCGTTTCCGGACACGGCCGATACGATTAATAATAACAATCGCATTATTCTATTCGCTTACGGTTAGATCGTTAACTTCACTATGCACGCGGCGCACAATAATGTAATACAGAGCGGTTGTTTCATGTGCACGCGCGCAAAGGTTTTGAGTAAAGCCGAGTTCAATATTCCCGCGAGTTGAATTACTCCCACGGTAACTCCGCTTCACTCCGAAAAAAATCAATTGAACTAACACGTATAATATGCGCGCATAGCTGTGTTGGCGTACAGCAATAGCGTATAGCACGTATAGCAACACAGCAATTGTCAACGTGCGTGTACGTGTACGCGTCCGTCGTACAGAACGTACCCCGCCGGCGCCGGTCAGAGAATCCCCAAACGACGTTTTCTGCAATACACAATCGTCGTCGGACTGCAGCGAGCAATATGCTCGAAATAATAATTGTTTGACCAGAATTTCCAATTGTTACTAATTTGTACACGACATACAATTCGCTATCATATTATATTCCACCGGATTAGCCGCTAAACAAAAACCAGTTTGAAAATTACGATCCGCGTGTAGGCTACGCTTTTATGTTGCGACGGTTCACGTACTTTGGGTCAAGGCGATTATTATTGGCGACCGCACTGTGGGCTACCCTCCTTTTATCGAAAACGAGTATTGTGCAATATAAGTTAGGCGGGTTCATCGCGAATGCGCCATAAACACACTGTACCTACTGTACGATTTCGAGCTTTCCCTTGTCACTTTTGTAACGCCACCGCGACCGTGCGACACACAGTCGTCAATAACGTTATTCATTTTACCTATTGCCGACGACGTGTCGGCCGCCGTTGGTTAATGTTATTTTGGCGTAGGTAATTAGAGATCTGCTAATAATACAATGCGTACACGTGTGTAATATAATTTTGTAACCGAATCGAGCGCAGAGGGGTTTATAGATTTTTTCGTCGAATCGAATTCAGTTTACGTTAATTATTTCCATTATTTCATTTCGGATTCACCTGCCTGTTCCCTTAACGAGAGCGGTCCTCGTTCCCCAAGATGTACGGGATGATTCGCTAAGCGTGCCCACCCCATTGCTTTTGTTAAATTTTGCGTACATTCAAATTCTGATTTTTGGAATTTTTAAGTGTAGTTAAAGCTGATATTATCGAATACACGGATTTTTCACGACATCTAGTATTCTGTGGCTACTTCGCTACTCTCCCCCAACCTAAATTTAAAAGCGCGATATCTCGAGAACCGGTTGACGGAAATCAAAAATTTTAACACCGGAATTTATTTTATTATTTATATTAATTTATTATGCATGGTGTTTAATATAACGTAAGACATTCATTATCTCGGAAAACATTAACTTTTTTCGGAATTTGTTTTCGGGAAAACAAGAAACAAAATTTAAAGTGTTAAATTACAATTGTTTTTTTTTCGTCCTAGTTTTAGGTGTGCAAATAGTGCAATTACTACGTACTTTTGATTTTTAAATTCTATAAATAGATGAAGTTTTAGTTTTAAAAATAATTTTAGTGTAGAATTATTAATTTCCGTCAACTCGTCAACTTTACGAGATATTCCACTTTTAAGTTATTGACAGTGGGGGGGGGAGGGTTAGCAGAGCACTATTCAAACGTCGCGTTGACACACAAATTGTACTCCATCAATTTCTCTCGACCCACAAATCGACGAACTCAAAAGCGGACTATCTTGTAAACGGTCCGTGACAAAAAATTAAAAACTGCAATATTCTGTATAATACGTTTGTTAAAAAATTGTTAATATATTTTTGGGGAAAACGATATACTTAACAACGCTTCAACAATAGAATTTGATCATAATATGTAACTAAATACGTAAGATTAATCGGTTAGGTTTAGTTACAATACCGGCTAAATTATTCACAGTGGCCAGTATCACGGAAATCGTGAAAAAATGTATTTATATAGTTGGGTAAATTGAATACTTAATGAATGAATTCCGCCAAATCCGAGGGATTATGTTATATTGTGTTATTATTATGTTCATCTTATTGTAATGTTTCAATAATATTTACATTTTTTCGGTTGGTACATTTATTATATTTTATTTTTTTATAAATTTTCGCCGACAATAATATGACGTTCACAAAACGTCTGAATTATGACTCATCGTAAATTAGTGATGTCTAAAATTTGAATAAAATATTATTAACACATAGATAACGCATAATTAAAACGATTCCATAGTATAGCGTATTATTATAGATAATTTGCTGGAATTTTTTTTCAGTTTATCCAATGCAAAATATTCTTTAAATCATTAAAAGCCAACATTTGGAGTTATTCGTGTTTTTTTTTTGAAGATTTTTGTGAATCGCTTTATTATAACGAATCTAATTTTCAACGGATTTTGAAATGGGTAACCGTAGTAAATTATTTGCATGGGGAAAAATCATTGAAACGTAATAATATTAAAAAATACTATTTGGAAAACCGTGTGGACTGTGGTACGCATAAATATGCCAAATAAAGTATCATATATTTATAATCGTTAAATCGTGAATCTTCTATCAACCAATAAAAAGCTTCAAAAAATATCTATGTCTTTATTTATTACTATGTATAAGTATTTTAGGTTTATAGAAGACAGTTGGTGGTTAAAAAAAGTGTTTTCTCTGTCACGACCAAAGACAATATTGTAAAAAAAAAAAAAAATGGTATTTGAAGTTAATGTTTTGAAATGGGTTTACAAACAATAGATTTGAATTTTATGTATTTAAACCGGCGACGAATCGCTTCCTAATGCACGTAAACGAACGGAACCGTAAGTATTTTCGTATCATGATCTAAAAAACAAAAAATGACTTGATTTTTTTCAGTTATTTAAATTAATATCTTACGGCTTTGTATTGGTCTTCGTTGGATAATTCTCGGCCAATTTTCAATCGAGCCGCGTATCTTAACGATTCGACAACAGTGAGTCTCGGCTGGAGCAAATCTTCTTGCATAATGTAACTAGATAGTTTTTTAAAAAGTTGCATGTTTCTGGGATAACCGTTCGTCTGGATTTGACCTTTTATGTCACTTCTCCTAAAAAAACAATAATACTTATAAAAAAATGTCATAATCTAATGAGTAGGTAGGGTAAGTGTTTATTTTTTTTCAATAGTTCAAAAACAAATTGAACATTTTTCTTATTAGTAAAAACATGTCTGTTTCATATTATTTCAACGAACGTCGAGGCAAAATATATTAACAAACAATTATTATCATTTGAATAATGTGCATTATAATTATGTTATACGATATTGGGCAGAGGTGACCCTAAACTTTTTTTTAAAAGATATACTAAGAATATATTTTTCTTTTGCGGATAAATTAAACTGTTAATAATACTCGTAAATACAGATAAATATTTATTTATTTATTTTAATTTTATTAGAATGCATGGCATGCAAAGATATAAATAATACATATATATATATATATAAAAAAAAAAATACAATAGTTTTAGTAATAAGTAGTGGAAAATAAAAATCAGATAAGAATACAATGACTAACAAGAATTAATAATGCCCGTACCAAAATATTGTATAAAGGCTGACGATAAGAAAAAAAAAGATCATTCGAAAAAGGCTTTCACTTCTCCAATAATGTCTTGGATCCTGATTTGGGCCCCCTAAATGTCATGGGCCAATGGTTTATTGCTCATCATGCCACCTTATCTATATGCCACTGGTAATAGTAATAGAATATTTATTATTATAGAAAAATGAATACATGATGTTTAAATTAATTAATTTACAAGTATGACCCCTCCAAAATAATTATCATTTGTTAGTCTGATAAATATAATATTAAATTAATGAAATTTTATAGATAAAATCAACAAATTGGTAGAATTAATTAAACACACGAACATCAATTTAAGAAAGAAATGCATTGAATGAATAAAGAGTTTATTAATTTAATAAAAAATAAATTTTACATTAGGTACTTCAAATTAAAATATACATTTATCAAATTAACCGTTCTTATATTTACTATGATTGGTGTTATTTTCAAGTTCAGCATAATATTATTAAATATATATTCATTCTAATATATTTTTATAAACAAAAATACCTAGTAAATACTTTTTTTTGATTACTGTTATAATAATGGTTTTAATAAGTTATATTAATATTAAGTATGATAAATCGTGTAAATATAGTTTAATCAAACAAATTTCATTAGAACTTGGGGTATAATTTACTTATTTGTTACAATTCGTTTATTTTCTACATAACTAATTTACAAATAATATTAAATTAATAATATTTATGTGTAATGTATATTTAGTTTGTTTTATTTTTATTACCTATCACATAAAGTATTATAATTTTGCAATTCATAGTTATGTGTGTATGTTGTCGGTACATGCCTATTTATTTGTTAAATACCTATACATATATTAACTCCATAAGGAAGTTAAATTTGTATATAATTATTTTTGTTATTATAAATATGTCCTAATACCTAATTCTTTGTTCAAAACAGTGATATACATATCCAATACTATATTATAATGATTTTCCTACATATTTGTATTTTATATATATATATATAACTTTTTTTTAATAATAATCATTTTGTTAGAATAAAAACACGTTGATCAATTGATATTATATTTGATAAAACTAATAAAAATCTATGTTGTCCGTGTAACATATAGTTACTTTTCCTGGATATAGCCAAGTATGGTGTAGGTATAGTAGTAGATGTACCTATTTTGTATCTCCCATTTTAATATGATACTATTATAATATATGAACGTTACCACCACTGGGTAAAAACTAAGACGTAAACAACGTCAATTTCCATAACATTGGTAATCACGGTAACCCACTTGTGCGTATAATATTCGCACGCGTAATTCAATATCGTGTAGCCACTTAATATAACTGATGCACATACGGCAACTATCGGTATCGGTCCTTGGTCCGGTCTCCAGTGATAGAATCGATGGAATTGTAGGTTGGAATATAATATGGTCATTTTATTCATTATATATATAAATATTATTAAATTGTTTGCCTATTTATAATTTTAACATGTTACCGCCGTAGGAAATAACGACGACAGATGCACGACGCGACCTACAGAAGTCGGCGGCATAGAATATAATAATATACGAGTATAGCCGTCATACATTACAAATCGAGCGTTTTCAATATCCTATTATTATTTCAATGCGAACGGGAAACTTACACGTATCCAGCTAGAATGTTCATCAGTGAACTTTTGCCCGCTCCGGAAGGGCCCATTATGGCGGTCAGGTGTCCCGATCGGAAGAAGCCGTTTATACCTTTCAGTATCGTCCTCTGTCCTGTAACACGGACATTATAAAATACTATTAACATTGTTGAACAGAACCTTTATAATATATAATCAAAATTTGAATATTTTTTTGAAAATTAAAGTAGGTACCTATTTATAGGTAATGTTTAAAGTAATATTGCTGGGAACATTCAAATTATTATACTACATGATATACCTAATTATTTTTTTTTTTTATGTAGGTAATATTAGTCATTGTACTATTTCTTATTATATCAAGAATTATTGATACAATTTAGTTGATATATTAATATCTATTTTCAACATCTTTTATTTCATCATGTTTAGTTTAGATGTTTCAAGAACTTCCACTTCATCAAATGTTTGATTAAGTATCATCAGTTCCTTACTGATTTCAACTGAATTTGTATAATGTTCTATCTTAAATTCTCTTTTGTTTAAAGTTTTGGTAGTACATTTTTTGGAATGATTGAACTTGTTATATCATTAGTGTGGCGGTGCGGCGCACGGCGTGTTAATAATGCACCACTACTCTACTAGATCTCGTCAACAGCTTGACAGAAATCAAAAATTTCAATGCTAAAATTGATTTTAACTAATACTCAATCTATTTATAGACTTTTTAATATAGGTCGCCATTTGAAAATCAAAAGTAGGTTGTTGTTTTACCCCCAAGAATAAAGGTGACAAATATAACACAAATATAAAATTGTGGAGCAGCTTGTTTCTTAATTGTTTTAAAAAACAAATTCTGGAAAAAGTTAATACTTTCCGAGATAATGAGGTGTACTCACTTAAATGAATCACTTGGCACATAAACCAATGCACACGACTAGGTTCGTTTCGCTCGAAAAACATGCAAATTTGTATGCATTTTCGATTAAAAACTATTCGACATTGTACCAAGTTTTTATATTTTATATTTAACATTTACTATCCGAAAAATTTATTAGGTGCCCGTACAGTGTATTGTTTGAACGGCCACCGCTGTTCGGACAACGTTATTCTGTAATCATAATTGTTTTGTCGAAAGAATAAACACGTTCGTATAAAATAACACAATAGACGTAAACACAAACCATGCATTTACGAATGTTTCGACAACTCAAATTACCGGACATTCCGGACAGTTTAATAGGTTACTTATAGGTATACCTATATATCATATGTATAGGAAATAAACGCCGACGTGACAATAATTTTCGCGATAATAACACGCGTACATAGCTATGATATATTTTTACGACGCTATTATACGAATACTATAACTGACCGATATAATACAAATATTATAATTGAAAAGAAAAAAAAAATGAAACTTTCGAGGAAGAAATCGGTTTTTGTTTTCGCGATTATTTAAGCTTTCTAATAATATAATATATAAATGCGAAGGTATAACATAATATTTTCCTTTCAGCCCGAAAATCGGTTTCCACGTGCGTCGCACAAATTATATAACGGTCGGATTATAATAATATTATTATATTTTGAAAGCGAGGCGTAGGTACGAATATTACGATTATCATTATAATAATGTGTATGCAATATAGATATCGATTAACAACATAATTTATTCTGCTGTGAGAGACGAGCACTTAAACGACCAATTTTTAACAAAAAAAAAAAAAAAACCTAAGGTCATTGTACATTTTTATATTAAATATTTATGTTTATAATAAACTCAGATTTTTTTAAAAATTTAATATTAGGATGAAACGTCTTAAAAACTCCTATAAATGCGTTAAAAATTGATTTTAAAGTGTCAAATTGGCCTACGAAAAAAATCGTTCAAAATACTAGCTGATAAGACAAATGACAAATGTGTGCCTACATTAAATAATAATAAGGAATAAAATGTAAAATGTTCAACGAAAACACATGCATAATAATACAGGTGAGTTTTAGATTCTAAGTGGAGCGAAGAAGCTTATGGTTTTACAAAGATGTTTATTTTTTCTGAAAGGATATCGGCGTGGGGAAATACTTTAAAGAGGTCATTTTTCGATTTTCTTAAGAGTTTTCTCAGAAAATGTGAAAAACCGGGATAAAACACGAGAAAACTAGGAAAAACGTAGGAAAATTGATAAAATCGGTACAACATTAAACAAATTTTATTAAAGAAAATATATAAAGTCTATTTAATTATTTTACTATAAAATGACATACATATTGTTGACAAAGCATCACTATCAACTGAACTTCACTCAGAATCGTTTTTTCGTAAGCAACGGTTTATCGTTGTTTACAGATATACATTGAATTTCCGTCAATATCCTACCTTTCCAACTTCCCACCTACATCAGTTTCTGCACTCGTCCCCATTATTCTACCTTTTTTTTTTATCATGAACCAACAATTATCTCAGACGATTTAAGGTGCGATTCCTATGACGCGACAGATGCTTGCGGCTAACGAAACACGTTTAATGCTTGAACCTGATGCATGTCAGTATGATTCCTACGACGCATCAGTCGTGTACGGTCACATAAGAGATAGTAGACATATTTGAAAATTTATAATTTATAATTGTGTGATGAGTGAACGTGACTTATTGTCATACCTGCTTCTTGAAGAGGTTGAAGAACTTCTTATAGGTTCTATAATATTGATCAATTATTAATAGTTCTGGGGAATACAAACGAACATCCTTTATTTACGTCAAGGCCGGAAAAAGGATTTTTTGCAATATTAATTAACCAGCATTTAATACACGATGACAAGAAATTCCGGAAGTTTTTTAACGCGTGAGTGGCTGCGTCTATATTGCTCGTCGACCGGTCCGTGTGACTCTAGCGGTTACCGGCAAACCGCAAAGTTGTTGGCGCCTTAATGGAAACGTACCCATAAGACAATGCGTCATAGGAATCGCACCTTAAAAGTGAATTTGATTTCTGGTTTTTCTAATCATTATAGTTATCTTTTAAGTTATATTTTAATATAATTTTTAATTTTTTACCCTTACTCCATATACGTTAAATAAGTACATACTTTTAATTTTCAAATAGGAACCATCTCTTTTGAATATAGATTTGAATAGAGAAGTAGAGAAGGGTATAAAAAAAGAGAAGGGTCTATTTATATCTGTTCCCTACTCTTCCGATATGGACTTTAAACTGTTATAACTCATAAACTGTAAATATGATGTAGTGTTATGCATTTTAACATTTCTAGAAAATAATTTCTATTCAAATCTGTGTTCATAATAGGGGGTTCCTATTTGAAAATCAAAAGTATGTACTTATTTAAGGTATATGGAGTAGGGTTAAACAATTTACAATTGTATTAAAATAAAAATTAAACGATTTCATAATGATTGAAAAAAAACAGAAATCAAAATCGTAACTAGGTATATAATACCTATAATTATTATAGGCTCACTTATTGGAAACTAAAAATATTATACGTTTCACATTTTTGCATAGTACATAAATAATATTTTAATTTATAGATTTCATTCGTCTTTGGTCCCAAAGAAACCAGAGGAAAAATAAACAAAATCTATGGAATTATTATGCGAAATATTACCAATATAATACCATCACGTGGCATTTAATACCGTGTGTTATAATAATGAATCGTCTTAAACAAACGGTTAGGTATAACAAATAATATTGAATAAATGTGGCCCAAAACTTACGGCTCGCCGTGGGCGTAATCTCGGGGGGTGAAGAGGGTGAACTTGAACCCCCTTGACTTTTTGTGGGGTGCAATACTATCATTTTGTACACCCACTAATCGAAAATAAATTCTGATTTGTTATGCAAAACCACGTCGGGTAGTATTTTATTTCGTGTACTGTTTGCTAATATGCGACCGGGTGGATTCCAGACACGAAATCGACAGGTACGCGAAAAAACTATTTACACACTCGTATATTATATAATAATATTTATTACAGTCACGTGGTACCCGAAATAATTTAAAAATAACGGTCTTATATTTAAAAAACAAAAAAACAAAAATTATATTTTTAAATACTACCCGGCAGACTTTTGAAAATTTCTACTACTATTTATTTACTAGAAGATACTATTTTTCATCGCAACTATAGATACACTCTATACCAAACAACTCGGTCGTACGTCATATCGTGATTTTTTCGTAGACACTTCCGAAATATTGCTCGTACACGTTTATATGGTCGATACGATGTGTTTTTTTTTTTTTTTACGATAATTTAGTGATTTTCCGGAAGAGTAGATAAGGATAATAGCTAAATTCGATATCTATTTTTGAACGACAACGGCCCTTTCGGACTCCTGTCCGGTCCCAATCGTATTTTAAAATGTTATATTCCAACTTATTATAAATGAAGGTAAATACGTTTGAAAATTAAAGCCCGACGCGTAAAATATTATAAAAATGCTTGGAAAAATATTGGAAAATCAAATGTTCATCATATCGTTGTGGCGTGTGTGAGGGAAAAATAAAGGTTACGTTTTGAAAATACGGTCAAGTAGATCGTTATTAAACCGCGAAATGTGCCGAAATCAATTTTATACTCAATATCTTCGCGAATAACAAAGAAAGAAAAAACATCACTCTGTATTATATTTCGTTACGACTAAAATTGTAAGTCGGAAACGATTTCTATTGTTATCTTATAATATCGGCGGCACCCGTTACATAGCCGATTAAACAACGCGCGCGCATCTAGCGAGACCAGTACTCACCGGCTGTCGTGTTCACGGCGTACGTCAGGTCGTGAAATTCAATGTCCACGGCCGGTCTCCTGGCCATGTGCGTCAGCGTCTTCATGTCGGCCCTGGTCGGAATCCGGGCTATGGGCCGGTCTTTGGACACGCTGAACAGCCGCGTCCGGCTCGGGTCGACCAGCAGTATTTCTTCTTCCTCGCCCTCCGGCAGCTCGCCGTCGACACCGCCGGCGGTTACTTCGGGCACGGCGAACGATACCGTACTGGCAGTCCGACCCATCGCCGAACCGAATTTCGTGACGTCGGTCCTTGTCGTCGGTACGACCATGATCACGTTCCTGTCGGCGATACCGTCGCAATGCGATGACGAGAGAAAAACAAACAAATAAATATAGTAAATAAAGGTTAAACAGCGGTGCGGACGGACAGCGTTGTCCTGGGCCCTGTGCGCACGAGTGCGAGTTACGATCGTCTTGCGCGCGGCGTATACGGGCACGCGCGGGTCTGTCTGGTGCACGAGTCGCGTCGGGGACGGTCCAGCGAAATGAACTAGTTGCCGACTGTCGACGAACGTGCGGTTCGCGACCGCCGCGCGCCGTCGCCATCTACACGCGGACGTTGCCCCACCGTGTTTTCGTTCTTTTCTATTTTGTTTTTATGTCGTTGCTGTTCGTTTGTTTCACCGAGCCACGCTAACGTAACGTAACGAGCGGAAACAACAACAACAACAACAACAACAACAAAAAAAGAAACAAAATATAACGTACGCAATAATAGTATAACGAGCACCGAAAAACGAAAAAAAAAACCCATTCTTTAGAAAAAAAAAAAAAATCATTTAAATTTAAATATTCTTCTTCCAGATTTTTACAGTCATTGAAGAACAATTTCGCTCTCTCTAAAATAATAAATAATATATTTATCATCTACAATACACACGCTGCCCTTTACATTTTTTAATCGCCGAGTGCATTTGTTTAAATCGCTTGCTTAATATCCCAACGTTGTTTAGGGCGAATGGGTCTCTTCTCGTTTTATCCGGGGTTTTCTTCAAAATACCGTTCGATCTTCAGACATAGAGGGGCGTAGAACGTTTGGGCGAAACGATCCAGAATATGGTCTGTTTGCGCGAATAGTAATACACCGTTTGGGCGAGTGTTTACTAATACTAAATTTACGGTTTGGATGAAGAAGTATGAATAGGTTTACAGATATAATACTAGAATATAGATACAAAATTATCAAACTTATTATCAAAATGAAAATTGAAAAATAAAATCACATACACTAGGTATACGTAATTAATCGTTTTATCCATTTATCAAAAAATAAGTATAGTTTTGTAGTATATAAAGTCAACAAAATTCCACATAATACTATTAATAATTAAATAAATCTATTGGTCTGGTATTTCAAATATAAGCACTAGGATATATTATAATCTGTAAATATCTCCTTTTTGGTATTTATACCAAGTTTACTCCAAACATTTTTTTTTTTTTTATCGTGGTTTCTTTTCTAAAAATAATGGGAATATTTGTAGAAATTGATTTTATTGCAATATACATGCAATGTGTATAGTTGATAGAAATACTTAGGGCAATACGAAAATATTCTGTTTCCAAAAGACATTTTAAGATTTATATAGGAGTGGTAAATTGTCGTAAGTTATAATAAGAATTGACTTTTGCTGATTTACGAAACAAAATTACTAATCTTTGTATTTGATAGTTTCTTTTTGAAGTATTATATAATTGATCAAATTACTTTCCACGTGATTTGGGTAATATTGGGTATAGTTATTTTCTGCTAGGTACGATAAATGTATCGCCTAATTAAATTAATATCAGATAATTCAGTTTATTCTGAAGTAATGAGATGTCTACTAATAATTTTTTCCTAATGATTCTATTCGGTTTTTCATATGCATTTTCAATAGTTTTTCTTTTAGAAGAACTTCGAACTATATCTACAGAAAAAGATTCCTTTGAAACTTTGGTCGTGATGACGTGATCGGGTTGTTATCTCTAATATATTTTTTAAATTGTTAATAGTTAAAAATTTTACGTTACAGTTTTTGTTCATTCAATGAAATCGAAATTTTCCATTTTGTGAAGTAGTATTGGTCAATAACTATACATATTTTTTCTCTTTTGGTCGTTTGGTCTTTCGGTTCTAATATAATATCCGTAAACCAGGCTTTTATATCTGTCAAGTAACAATAATTTCGCTCAAACGGCATAAATAATATTCGTCTAAATAGACTATTTATTTGTCGGTTGAGATTATTACCTTCGCGCAAACGACCATCGTCTATGTTATAGAGCCTAACCACTCACATTGTTTGCTCGTAAGGTTTATTATTTCAATAATTACCTGAGTTTTAGCAGATTCGTTGAGATTTTCTTTTAGTTCATCTTCCGCAGTACACTTCATTTGCTAAAACTGGTCTATAAAGTACTGTTATTTCAAATCAATTTGGACAATTTATTTTGTTTGAAAGAGTTCACATCATAGGCTGATTAAACATTTGATCAGGATTCAATTATGGAATTCGAATATGTGAAAATTGAACATAGCTTGATACAATTTAGGTCAAATGGTATCATATGCCATTTCATTTATATAGGTGGAATTTCATTGTAGTAAAATCCGATCTTGCTGTACACTGCAAAAAAGTTTTCATTATACATGTCTACGGTGTTTTGTTAATAGGACGTACACCACTAAAAATCGAAAAATATATTTTTAGTATCAAAAAAATCAGAAATATTAGAAGCATAAATTGGTATAAGAGCGCGGGCGTATTTAAATACAGAAAATTAGGTTGGTGCCCTTTTCAAATATAATTATATCAACATTATTGATTTATTAAAAAGGCGTATACTACATTCAATGAGTAAATATGTTGTGTACAAGGTATTATGTGTACTGGTAATTTTATTGATTTTTATGATAAATATCATTAAAAAATGTTTTGTTGTTTTTTTGCGAAACCGATTTTTTTGTTTCCTGAAAAAAAGTGTTTTAATGGTATACGCCCTTCTATCAAAACACCGTCGATATTATGCCGTCGACTCCTATGAATTTTCTAGAAAGTCTTAAAAATATTATTTTAATTTGTTTAAAGAATTTCGGGGGTTTTTAAAGTTTGTATTTTTTTTAGCTGTGAAACATTGTTCGGGTTCTTTTTATGTGGTTTTGTCGTCCAAATAACGGTATTAAAAATAACGTCGTTTTACCACTCTGTTAAATTTACATTAAACACAATAGACGTCCGGTGATTTATTATTCGAAGGTGATTTTTACATTTACAATTTTTTTAATCGTATCGTGTTATTATTTCCAATATTTCTGCAGTAGGTATAAGTTATCAAAACGCCATTGTTTAGGCGTAAGGTGTTGGTATATATCGAAAACGTTATTAATAATATTTTTAAAAAAAATTCTGGTAAACAATAATAATTTATACGAATCCCATAAATCATCGTTTTTAATACAGCAAATCATAAAAAATAAAAATAAAAACGAAATCAATATTAAATTTCACACATAGATGATGAAGTTAGTTTTAGATTTTGACCGAAACAAGGAATGTATCAGTCTTATTATGGTTTGTGATTATTTGTTTAATTTGTGTGTCTGCGAGCAGCTTTTCTACCATAAATCATGCTCCAAATAAAAAATTATCGGTGACTTTTTTTCTGTTGAAATTATTGTTACTTTTTGGTTTTTAAGCGATTTTTATAATACTTGGGGAAAAAATGTGAAAGGAAATCGGATTAATTCACGATAAATTTGAAAATGCAGTTTTCATATGGATCACGCAGGGACGTGTGTGCCACTGTTGTAGGTAGGAAGTTGGGATGGTAGGATACCTATATATAAAGTTTATTTAAATTATATCTGTAAGCAACAATAAGTCATTGCTAATGATTTACGATTAGGAGCTAAGTTCGGTTATAGATGTTTTGAAAGGACATAATATTTACGATTTTCCTATAAATTTGAACCTATAAATAGCTCAAAAATGAAAATTTTACTACAGCTAGATAAAACGAATATAAGATGATTACTGTCAAAACTTCACCCCCAAAAATAAGAATGAAAAATAACATAGATATAAAATTGTAGAGCAGCTTGTTTCTTAAATGTTCTGGAAAACAAATTCCGGAAAAATTTAATACTTTTCGAGATAACGAGTGTCTTATGATATATTGATTACCTCCAATAGCTGCCGAAAAAGATTATGGCCATTTGGATATGGTTTTTCGCACTTATATTAACATTTAATAATTAGGATAATAATACGTGTGATACGGTATTATCCACATGAATATGATCACCTGGTATATTGGTAAAATAATATTATATTTATCAAACGCATAAAAATACTATAAATAATACAGTTGAGTGTATTCAAATTTTCAACGAAACGAATGACATTATTTTGCAATAGTATTATCAATCGAACCATAAACAGAAAAAAGTCGGCGATTTTTACGTCTTGTACTCTGGTGCGTTACTGTTGAATGCTGTCGTGCGTAAATGATAACAATATAATATACCTATGCATATTAAAGATAAATAACACTGAGCGCAATAATATAATAATATAACTATTGTAATAATATCTAATACAGCATAATGACAGAGGATTTGTTTCTTTTATTTTTATTTCAAACAATAAACAATTATTTTTTTCTATACCGTTTATTAACAATATTATTAATATTATTAATATGTTGTTGTGTTTTAGTGGTTTCATAATAATAATAATAATTACTTATTTCAATCCAAACGTGCGAACGCGTCCGCTAAACTACCTTGGAATATTATAACAATTACCCATTATTAGTATTAACAAGTATTCGCGTGTAAGTGAGAGTATACATTTTGGACTAAATTAATTTGTTCTTTTTACGTGTCTGTTAACTTTTCCATCAGAAATCTTGCTCCAATCAGAAAATCTACGGCATTAACAGTTTCGTTATGTTCGGTTTTGTTTCGATTTTTTTTGTAAGTCGGTTGAAAATATTCGTAGAGACCAAATATTTGTACAGACTCTTCACAAAACGTTCTAAAACATTTTGAAAATGTTTGAAGATTATTATGTAATATTATTATATTAATTATCTATTGACCTGTTTTAAATTTTTTGCGAACCCGTTTTTGTATTTATGCATGGATCTGATGCAACCAATTTTGTTGGCATCGTATATTTTGTCGAAACAATCGAATCCAGCCGTTACAAGAAGCGGTTTACTCGAATCGTGTACGTAAGTATTTCTGTGCAAATAACAAAAAAAAAATAATAATAATAATATAATAAATAAGCGCGGTCAAGGCCGAATTTTACGGAACCGGACACACAGAAATGGCGTTCCAAACCCGTAATGTGACATTATCTCTTTAGATCTTTTCACGAGCCCCACGTCATTCATGGCGTAAAAAAACAACAAAGCCCTGAAAGTTTGCGCTACGTATCGCAAACACTGGCACGATACTCGTTTATTCGCCGGTTCGAAATTTTAGAAACGAGGTTAATATTAATGCTATTATAATCGAACTAATCGTAGGTAGGTATTTTCAATTATTTATATTGTCGTAATGTAAATAAAATATTGTATATTATATATAAATATATTTATATGTATATAAATACAGTAAATGGGGGGGGGACTTCAGCCTTTTAGCCCCCCCTGCGTACGCCACTATTTCAGTCAATGTATTATTACTATTGTATTATTTTTACGATTGGCAGCGTCGATTGCTACGGCGCGTTTTTAAAACGACGAAAACCATCACACGATTTTTGTACAAGTTATAAGCTGGATAAATTATTGGGTGGTTTGTACTTGATGCACTTTGTTGAATTGTTGTCCATATGGCCATGATCGACGTTACTTCGATTTTCTCTGATTAACACTGCATATTAAAGTCTATGTTGCAAAAATATTATGAATTCAGATTTTAAAATCTAACGATTCGAAGGAACGCTGCAGCAGCAGCAGACGTCAGTATAATAAACACTTCCTAAAAAAATGTGTATATTTAATTTTATTACTGTACGTAAAAAAACCTGTACATTATGTAAATTCGTAAATTACGTAAGTAATACATAAATTCGATTATTCAAATAAAACAATAATCTAAATAAAAAAAATTAACTGCGTACCTACGCGTATTCGGATTATGTATCTGTCAGCACAACAGTTTTCAGACGAGGAAAATATCGCAAGGATCGCTAATAAATTAGTTGCGCCTATTTACGATTATTTTCCGTACATCAATGAAATTATTTGCTCAAACGAACTTTTTGCACATTATCTATGAAGTTAAAAGGAAAAAATTAATAATGAATTTTCTTAAACTATATTAACGTATACCATAATATTATTATATTAATTATCTATTGACCTATTTTAAATTTTATGCGAACGCATTTTTGTATTTATGCATAGATCCGATGCAACCAATTTCGTTGGTATCGTCTATTTTGTCGAAACAATCGAATCCGCCCGGCACCAGAAGCGGTTTACTCGAATAGCGTACGTAAGTCTTTCTGTGCAAATAACAAAAAAAAAATAATAATAATAATAATCTAATAAATAGGCGCGGTTTTAAGGACGAATTTTACGGAAACGAACTTACGGAAATGGTGTTCCAAACCCGTTATGTGATATTATCACTTTGGGTCTTTTCACGAGCGCCGCGTCGTTCATGACGTAAAAAAACAACGAAGCCCCGAAAGTTTGCGCTACGTATCGCAAACACTGGTACGATACTCGTTTTTTCGCCGGTTCGAAATTCTATATACGAGGTTAATATAATGCTATTATAATCCGTACTAATCGTGTAGGTAGGTATATTAAATTATTGATATTGTCGTAATGTAAATAAAATATTATGTTAATATTATTCCATACGAATACTATAATAACACGGTTATAGGTGCATAGATTTACAATTATGACGCTTACAGTTTTACGATAATGTATTTACATTTTTCAACCGACATGGTCAACCGTATAAGAAAATAATATACAACTAGCCGATCGAATCGGTCGTCAAGTAAAGTGGTTTACTGGTAGAAAACGTAAATCGTAAGAGTTTAAAATAATGAAACCGGTAAAGCCGTGACGCGCCGTCACGTTATATTGTTATAAAAACCATTTGGAAGATCAAAAATATGAACTGCCTTATGCACTGGCAATATTTGAAATGCAAAAATATTTGATATTTTTTAATACTAGCAAGATATATAATAATAAAATTGTTTGCAAATAGAAAATAAAACTCATTATATAATACAGTGTTTAACTCAATCTATGAGTCACGACGAAAGAAAAAAATTTTGATTATAATATAATAAAATAGAGAAAATAAAAAATATATTAGTAATAATAATTAAAATATAATAAGGAATGAAAATGCCTATAAATAGCTCAAAAATTGACAAAATTTTTTGAAGTTTTATTTTCCAGTCCTATACTAAATCAAGATTAGTGCCAAAATATAGTAGCCATTATATTGTAAAATAATTCATAATAGTATTGTAATATTTTTTTAAGCATTTCATATTATTCTGTGTATCGTGTAGTTATACAAATAGTTGAATAAAAGCAAAAAACAATAGAATTATTTCTATAGAATACATCATATCACTTATTATACAGTATTTAAGGCCATTTTATACTCACTTAAAATTCTTAAATTATTAAATATTATTCACACAAATATTACTAATTAAAATTTAATTGGTTTACATAAATTAATAGATACTTACCCATGTAATAAACAACCGACAACCTCATAATACAGCTAGGGTGATCAATCGATCGTAAGACACTCGTTATCTCGGAATGTATTTAATTTTTCCGGAATTTTTTTCTAGACTATTATGAAACAAGCTACTCTACAATTGTATAATTATGTTATTTTTTGTCACCCTTATTTTTAGGGTGAAATCACTACCTACTTTGAATTTTGAATGGCAACTTACATTGAAAATTCCACAAATAGACGAAGTATTAGTTAAAATAAATTTCGGTGTTGATATTTTTGATTTCCGTCAATCTGTTGACGAGATATTCCACTTTTAAGTTTTGGTCGGGTAGAGTGGTGGTGCATTATTAACACACCACGAGCCGTACCGCTACACAAAATACAATACTCCACTAGTCTTCTCCAACCCATACTTAATAGAATATCTCGTCAATATACTGACGGAAATTTCAACAGTAAAATTTATATTAACTAATTCTCCATCTATTTATAGAATTTATAATATAGATTGTTATTTGAAAATCAGAAGTAGGTAGTGGTTTTACCCCTAAAAATAAGGGTGACAAAAACTAACATAAATATAAATGTGTAGAGCAGCTTGTTTATCAAGTGTTCTAGAAAATAAATTCCAAAAAAAGTAATTACTTACCGAGATAGTGTCTTATGATAGATTGATCGATCCGTATAGCTACCGAAAAACATGTTGGCCGTTTGGACAGGGTTTGTTTTAACATTTAATAATTAGGATAATAATTTTTGTAAAAAATGAACGGGTTTCAATATTGTTATACTCTCTCGTATGTATATTTTTTTATTCTTCTGAATATTCAAGAAGGCCATTCGGTAAATACCTATATTATACTATCGACCTTAACATAATATTTCATATCCTCACGCTGGGTTCACCGTCAACGCACAATTGATAAAAACAGCTTGATAACCTGCTATAACGATATCCATACACATATATACCTATCACAAAACATTATAGAATTACGTAATATTTTTATCGTAATGTCCATATAAAGTCACGGCCAATGCCGTAGTGACAAGAACCTTTGTTTACAAATTAAATTGATTATTTCAGTACCCCTAGTTGGCATACTGACCGTGGTTATAATATAATTGCTATAGTAAAGAATTCAATCAATTTTTATGAAAAAAAAAAAAACCACTTATAAATCTATTTTAAGATATTTAATTTAATTTAATTTTAAGAGATTTAATTTTTTTTATTTCCATTATTCTATTTTTAAAAATAACAACAAATAGACATTTGTTGGTAACGTTACACATATAACAGTTAAATAACTTATAACTTATATTTACCATGATAGGTATATAATGTGTGAATAAAACGAAATTGATTTGCATGGTGTAATCCATAACAAAAATGCGCGTAAATAAAAAAAAAATTTTTTTTTCATCTGTGTTATCAATGTTACATGCATTTAACAAATGCACTTTTAATTTAAACGATTGAAGTTCAATCTCACGTACTATGTGCAACGAGATTCATATAGTGTACAGATAATAAATAAGTAACTAACATGTGATAGTAACGAAAATACTTAACAGTAGAATAAGTAGTTTTTTTTTTTAATAATTACCAATGCTCTGCGTTTCAAAGCGAAAGGAATTACAGCAGATACGATCGCCACTTTTTATTAAAATAATAACAGTAATATTGAATATCGCAGAATATTATCATACACATATCTATATTATAATAAAACAAAAACATTTTCTGCCAATTTCAAGGCTACGCGTGATAAAAATGATCCATATAAACACGTCTGAAACTAGCAAGTGACAGCTTCATTAGTTATAATATTAATGTAGGTGTCTACTTACACGCTCTGTATATTTGACAACACAATATTTATATAAATGCATTAATTTAATTCTACGATAAATTATTCTGTCTACACATATGAAAATTATCTATTGATATATTATAATTATTGAGTCAATGCTGACTCAATTTCTTGTCTTCCTCTTACACGTCTATCCGAAACAAATATTATCAAAACACAGTAAATAAATGTATAAATAAAAAAGTATATAAAAAAAATAAAATAAATAAATGAATGAATGTGTCGCCCGGAGTATTATTATAAGTATATTATACGACGATTTTTATTTTAAAAATAACATTCTATATCAATACTTTTAAGATGATAAATGATAACCAAATAATTTATATTCCTTAACATATCTATGTCTAATAATGACGAATTTTAAATAATCTCTCCTATTAAAATAAATTATTTCTATATTCTATGTAAAACGACCAATTTGTACTTTTTTTTTTCTATGTCTTCTGTATTTAATTTTTTATATTCAGTTGCGTTTTATATGTTGACTGTGATATACCTGATGATGAATTTTTAATTCGAAACCTGTCGTATAATACACTTATCATAATACTCCAGGTGACGCATTCATTCATTTATTTATTCTATTTATATATATATACATTTTTAATTTATATATTTATTTACGAGTATTAACCATTTAAATTTTGTTTTTACTTTATTATTTTATTAAATATTATCAATACATATAGAGACGGCAGAATGATTAATAAGAATAAAATATTAAGGGTCTCCTTTACAAAAATTTGTACTGCATAACAATAGAAAAAAAACAAAATTAAAAATAATAAAATTATTATATTTCGTAATATTCTCCGTTCTTTCAACTTTTTTTTTTCAGTTTTGCTCAATTTTTAGACAAATTTCAGAGAAAATCAAAAAACGACTTCTTACTCACCAACTAGATTAAAAATATAATAAAAAAGTATCTTGTTATTTTTCTATTGGAGCAGTATTTCTGGTAAAAAATGTAAACCGTACAAATTTAAAATAATAAAATCGTTTGCCCTAAATTTGTCGGTTTTCATTTTTCCTCTTTTTTTCAATTTTGCCCAATTATTGTGAAAACTAATTTTAAGATAAAAGAAAAGACTTGCTTCGTATGCATCTAGATCCAAAATGCTATAAAAAAATTGCTCAAGGAAAGTTTTTTATTGAAGTAATGTTTCTAGTAAAAAATATAGTTTTCAGAAATATTATAATATAATTAAAATATATAATTTTATATAGTTTTTCCAATTATTTTGAAAATTCTTTGGAAAATCAGAATATTGCCTCCCCAATGCGTTAACAAGATAAAATTGCCTTTTAGAAAAAGTGCTACACTCGATATTTCGGAGCACGATTTCTGGCAGAAAATTTATTGACAGACAC